CCCGGTGTTAATGGTCTTAGGGGCGAGCGCGCATCTCCCCACACATATTAAAGACGCGACCCTTAAGGTGAGCTTTGATCACGTTAAAAAGAATAGTAGGGAGGGCTATGGTGCGCTATCTGTGAAGCAAGCCCCTGTGTCAAATTCGGCCAAACGCTTTTTCGACATCAAGAAGACGGCTCCCGTTGCCTTCTTTAAAACGAAGGTAGGGGTCGTCCACTCTGTTAAGCGAAGGAGTTGTTGAATCGTGGAGTGCCCTTGTCGAAATCCAAAATGGAACTCTGGCAGGGCGTGGCTTGCATAACAAATGCCTTCAAGCGACGCAGTATGGCTGCCTCAGCTACTTTGTCAAAAGCTGACAAGAGGCTACTAGGCCTGTATTTGCTTGACGTAGATGCAGGTCGTGGTGTCTTCAGGTACATCACTGTAGTTGCCGTCTTCCAGCACTTTGGAGAGGTGACAAGAGCCATCGTAGAGTTGATGAGGCAGCATTCTGTCGTCGCCATTGGTAATTGCTTTAATAACGTTGGGAATACTGTCAAGGTCATGTGCCTTTCGTCTCGGTTAATAATCTCTACTATTTCCACTATAGTTATTGGCGCAAGCTGTTCCCCGGCATTAGCAATGGAGTTTAATTCACAAAGCACTTTGTTAGCAACTAAATAAGCTGAGGGCGCACCCTGAGTAGCGAGGTGATCAGAAAATGGAGTCTCTTTGTCAACATCATTCCCCGCCACAAATTTGCCGTCTCGCATAGTAGAAAATAGTTAACGCTCTCGGTTTCTGTAATTTCTAATTAGCTTTCAGAAAGAAAGCAACCGTTAACCGTTCTCATCCAAAATATTACTTAACATTTCTCCCACAATCGGTTATAGTGCGCCCACAACTCTTTCCTTATGCGCCGGTGTAGCCTATTAAGAGCTTCGGGCGTTGTGACACCGTGGCCAGTCGAATTAGGCGTCGTTACTCGCAGGGGAGGGTCTTCCATGCATCAGGCAAGCGGTTAGGCGGAACTCAACGTGTCGTCTTGGTGGTTTAGTACGCCATGACCAAAGATCCCTCGAAATCAGCGACAGCAAGGTCAGGTTAGGTGGGTGTTCTGATTAAGGCGAAAGATTGGAAAAGGTTATATTAAGAGCCTCGGTAGATTGAGTCTAGTCCGAAAAAGTTCTGGTATATGTCCTCTGTTACTCCTTTTCGTCGCCCAAATTAAGCAGAACTGGCATGGTTTGACGAAAGTTCGTAAAGAACTTCAATTGCAGTTGAAATATATATATATATTTCGAAACGGCGATATCTAATACGTCTAAAATCCATGTCTTCGCCGTGTGCGTTGGGTACTGTGGTCCTATGACGTTGCAGTCCGCACTCGTCGGTGGAAGATCCGAGGATTTAGCTGTTTGGGTTATCGACATGGCTGTTTCAGGCGGGATGCTTGCAATTTAGGTCCTTAAATTCAATAACTGAGGAACAAGTTATATAAAGGGCATCAAGCTCTGAGGTAATGCGGTAAGCTGGGGGGCTTGTAAGCCCTAATTACCGACAGGGCCCCCTGGCTGCTTAATTTGGATGGACACTTCAACCTCTCAATGCTTTGCAGGGTTGGTAAAGATATCATATATTGACGCTTTTGATGGAGCTTGTAATGGTATTGGTACTTTATTGTACCTTTAGCATTCGTCACGGCTTTTGGCGCATTGCCTGGTCGTTGATGTATGCTAGTAGCACTACTAGAATAGTGCTACTACTATATAATCTATAGATACTAGTACTATATATATCGCGCCGCTCCCACTGCAATCCTTGTTTTCTCTAGAACGTCATCTGTTTTAGAACAAAAGACGGGTATGATGTAGTGTTCGTGATCTAAAAAGCATCTCTAACCTTGTTGACAGGCTTGTTGTCAATATTGAAAGCAGTTGTCGAAGTGCTGGTTGCGGTTGTAGGGGGTTATCTGTATTAGAATTTATAAATAATTAAATAAAAAATATTAAAAAAAGTATGTAACTAAAGATAAGCAAAAAATGATATGATAAATAAAATAGTATAGTATAGCTTTTCTACTTCTTTTATTCTGAAAGTCTTGTGATATTTATACTAAAAAATGTGTTCGAAGAACCAATCAAATTCCCCTTTTTTATTAACATTTTTTAAAAAACTACCTTTAATAATAATTTTTTTTTGCATACTAAATAAAGCGGATTCGAAGAACCAATCAATATCGGCATCGCGACCAACGAAAATCCATTTTTTGTTAATTGAATTAGTTTTTAATTTAATTTTGTAGTTATTTTCTTGTTAGGCTGGGGTATTGTCTTTGTGGACAGGCGAGCGGCCTAAGAAATTGTCGGAGTTACATTAATAGGGACCTGTTTTTGAAGTTTTGGTTGGATGAATATTCACAGTCACGATAATTGGCAGTGTGCGTTTCACCGCAATTAGCACAACTGACAGTACTTTCTCGTGCTTTTGTCCACTGTGCAGTCAAGTGGCCCTCGCCACATTTAATACGACCAGCGGAGCAGAAATGCTCTGTGTCCAAATACCCTGAGAGCGGTGGCACTATCCGACTCCATTACTCTTTCGGAGCACTTCCACCCTAACCTGGAAAAATTGTAAGCCATCTTTAATTCCAACAGCTTTCGTTGATCAAGGTAAAAGTCGCTTCGTGCGTTTTTCATCGACATTGTCCTCAAGCTGCATCCTTGCCAGGCCGAGGAATGAGATGCCTTGCTCGCTTAAGTCTCCCTCCACGGTTTGGACGTAAAGATCGCAATAGATCCCACGTAGAACAAACTATAAAGGTTTGTCCTCCGGTAGTTGATAAGTGAAATGAGGTAGCGGTTCATCGCGCATGTCTTGGTGATAGCTCGATACCCGTCTGCTGTTGCAGGAAAATTTTTATCCTTTGACGTGTATTCCTAGACTTTGGAACCCTGCTGATGCCATTGGCTAACAGAAGTTTTACAAAATGATTCCACTTCTTTTTCGCAGAGAACCATAGGCGGGAACTTAGTGTTTCGCTCAGGAGATGCAGCTGCGGAAGGTGGCTCGGATTCACTGGAGATATTTCATTGGGAAAACTTTCTCTAATTAGCCATATCAACGTCTTTGTTACCATTATTATAAACAGTTTTTTTTTAATATTACTGATAAGTTTACTATTAAGGTTGATACAGTCATTAAAGCCCTTTACAAAAGTATTATTACTAAATTACTTACTACTATTACTACCTTTTCTTTGTATAATTATTATTATTTTTACTATTATTGTTATTGTTATTAGTTTGGTTATAATTTCTTTTAGTGTCTTTTATCATAAAAGCTTTCCCTTCACTCCTCTAAGATTTCTTCTTTCCAAGGCTCGTTAAGTACTTGGAGAGCAGAGTAAGGGTTAGCATTATTACTTATAATAGAAGAATTTCTATCGGCTCTTTTCGTCGTTTAGTCTCGTTTTTAATAGGCGTTTATTCAAAATCCTGTAATTTCATTTTTACAGCCTTCAGCTCTTTACGAAGTTTTTTAATAGTAGCTAATAATATTTATTAGTCCTTCGTAAGTCGGCTTCTAGAAGTGGGGGACTCATCTTATATAATAGCAAACGAATAAACACAAACCGCATTCCTTATCTTCAAAATACGTTTAATTATATGAACTAATCTTAATATATCTTTATCGTAATGCTTTTTTCCTGCTAATTAGCCTAAAATGGTTGAATAGCTTTTCTTTTAATTTATAAATATTAATCCAATTTAGTATTCTTATAAACCTGAATTATATATACTTTAAAGAGTTTGAACCTAAATATTTTTATAACCTCATACACAATCTCACGTTACATCTTAATAATTTATAATGCTTGTTACTTTAAGTTGCTGTATATCTACATTCCCTATAGAAATCGAATATTAAAATTATTAAGAAAAATATTTATCACTGCTTTAGTGACTTTTAATAACTTAATATTGCAAATGATAAAATAAAGTTTAATTTCCCTTATTTCTTTGAGGACTTGAACTAGTCCATCTTAATAGCTATTTTATTGCATTAAGAAAAACACTACTAATTAAAAGAGGATTGGAGAAAAGGACACAATAAAATAATTTTAAGCACCCAATATGGATTTAAAAGTTACAACACTATACAGCTGTTTACTCTTAAAAGCGCTAGGAAGGTCCCCTATTACAAAAAAAAATTCTTTAGTGGTTATATATAAGCTTTTGATGAATTTAGAAGAATCTAGTTAAGGGCTACTCCCACCTGGTGAGAAGCTCATAGCCTGGACGGCGGTGCTGATCGGTGTCTCCCAGGTGGCCTCGGATCTTGTGCCTCTCCCGGCGGTGATTTATAGCGTTTTCCACCACACCAGGGCGAACGGCGGGAGACCGGGCCCGATTTTTTCCGCATTTTCTGACCTCCGGGAGAGCCATTATGGCTCTCTAAAGAGCGTACTCAGGTGGGCACTCTGCTCCAACCCCTGCAGAAGATGGGAATTCAGATAAATCGATTTAAAGTCTTAGTAAGAAGATCGGCCGTAGTTTACCAGTGCTAAAAAATTAAAAAAAAAGTATCCAGTTACTGTCTTGGCCACTTATGCTAAATTAAGTTTTGCGAAGAGGTCTCTTCTCAAAAAGAGGTAGAACAAGAAGGGATAATTGTTATTTTAAAAACATTTTACGAAAAAAGAGAAGTGAAAACTAGAAGTGAAAATTTAAAAAAGCTGTTTTTCGGATAATTAGCGCTACGACTAAACTTAAGTGTTTTTTCCTCGACTATCTTAAGAATTTGCTTCAAAGATACAGAAAGTTCAAAACTTTATACAGTAATAATAGCAATATACTGGTTTATTATAAAGTTCAACTTCGTCTTAGAATCTTTCTCAAACTTTTATCACTCCTATGCTTTATTCAAGGTCAACATAAGTTGATTTATTTTAAAAGTTGACAATTTTAATAAGTAAAGCTTGCTTTCAGCTCAAAAAAATTAAGTAGCAATTTTTTTTAAACTTAATAATGAGTTTTGGGTGATAGTTTTTTTTAATATGAACTTTAATTTTGAACTTGTCTCATCCGTTGACAGCCAGTTGGGGTATCTACTTATAAAAAGAAAGGTTAAACATCTTATATTTCTAAGTGAAGTGGGTAAATATCCAGTATATAAAAATATTAAATTTAAATTTTTTGCTCTATGAAAACTGATCAGCAAAAGCTTCGAAGCCTTTAAACAAAAAAAATGTTTTAATAGAATTTTAAGCAAAGATCAGCTTATATAAAAACTGAAGTTCTAGAAATAATAATTTGGTGAATATCATTGTGAAACTTTTGGGATTAACTATTAATATATTTTTACAGAATAATGAAAAATACGTTAAAATACACACACGCAGCAAGCTATTACCTATGTATACTATTTGCATTTATTTTATTAACGTATTTTTCCATATTTTTAATTATTTTATTATAATAACTTACATAACCAAGTGTATTGGAGTGACTAATTCGGTAGATAAGTCCAGCAGCGCTTTTTATGTGTGCTAAGGTACTAAGTAAACTATCTTTAAAACAAGAGTAAAAAAGAAAGGCCGGTTTACAATAGCGAAAAGTTGTCTTGAGTTCCAATATCGGAGCTCCAAGGTACGGATAATTAAAATACTAAAAATATATAACTATAAATAACTAAAAAATAAGAATAGTTTTTAGAGTTTCACTTTTAACTTTATGCAAGTTACTAACTTAAATTTTTTAAAAAAAGGGGTTACAACGTAGATAATGTACTTTTAAGTCGGAAGAAATAACTAAGAATTAAATAAATTACTTTATACCTAATATAAGGTTTCTATTTTTTTAAAAAAAGTTGTGCCAACCAAAAAAGGTGACAACCATTCCTATAGGAAAAGTTGAAAAATAAATAGCTTAAGAGTCAAGCCTGGTGTCTTGAGGTTCTGCGAAAACTTGCTCTTCGCGTTTTTAAGTAAGGTTTGCGAGTACCGTCCAAATTCTAAAAAATTTGCTACTTTACCTTGAAGTTTTTTTTTATACAATATTCGCTTTATCACATTGCTTTATAGCAATGACCACAAGTATATTTCTGGATACCCAAATTCGTGACTGGGTTTTAATTCCTTTAAGCCTTGTAATATTTCTAATAGAGATTTTTAGAACTTACTTATCCCAGTTACTTCAAAGTGATAAGAAAATTAAGGACTTAGGATCGGTAAGTTGTTTTATAGCAAAATATTTTAAAAAAATGTTTTGTGTACCAAATCTTTTGAAAGTATTAGTAAAAAATATTTAATACTTTGTAATAATTAATACATAGCTATTGTTCATTCTAATAATTTATGGAAAAATTATTGTAAAAAGATTAAGGAAAGTCACATAATAAAGCGTGTACAGCTTTTAAAAGCCAATCGTAATTACCTTTCAAGAGAATCTTTTTATGCTCGAGTGCATAGTTTTTGTGATGAGGTTATTTTCTTGTTAGAAAACTGTTGCATTTTTAATTTAATTTAATCTATTTTCTAAAGGTTTCCGGCATTTTACGAGAGAATCCTTCTAAAAAGCCTTTACAGGGTCTTTCTATGGATCCTGAGAAATTGGCAACCTCACTTAAAAATAACATGCAACTTATGATTACCCAGATAATTTTGTATAATTGGGTTAATTATTTCTTCTACGGATTTTTGACAAGTAATTTTTTTAAAAATTTTCTTAGTTGTAGAACTGTAAAATTTTTGTAGTTTTTTAATTTATGCTCAATTTAATTGATTTATTTATATATATCTATATATTGTTAAATTTTTTTTTTGAGAGTTAAAACAATAATAAGTTTCATTTATATGCTTGCAATTTTTTTTGTTTTGGCTTTAACGTTTCTTGTCTTATTAGAGTACGCGATTAACAAATTTTGTATTTCTCTTATAAACTATAGATTTTTACGGTTATTATTTATTGTTCCAGAAATTTAATATTTTTCTGTACGTATTTTTTTACCATTCTTTTGATAGAAACTTAATAATTTTTTAAATTAAATTAACTAGCGAAAGTACCTTTTCCGTTAACATTGTCATTTAAAACTATGACTCAAAGCGGAGTGGAACTAGAGGTAAATTTTTTTAAGAAAAACAAAAAAAAAAGATTAATTTATAAATTATTTTTTGAAAAAAAGTTTAGATTTCGGAGAGTGCCAAGGAATTAACTTTTTATTTTTTTTTTCTAAATTATAGATTCTTATATATTTTTTATAATAGCCCCATTTTTATGCCATTGCTTAAGAATCAGTGTGGTTGTTGTAGAGACATAGTACTTTGAGATTGTACAAACTTAAATTAAAAAAAAATTCTAAAAAAGCTTTTTTATTTTGAAGTTTATATAATCTTTAATTTAAAAACTTTTACTATATTTCCAGCATCTTTTATTCACTACTTTTTCTATTATTTATTGTTTTACATCTGAAGAATAATTATTTTTCATTTCAATAAATTTTTTTAAAGCTCTGTAAAACGTATATGGAGAAAAGTTCATTGGATATAAATTTCTTTTGTACTCCACTGTGACTTCTAGTTTTTTCTAATTTAGTCGGAAAAAAGCAGTTCTTATATGAAATTAATTCAGTTTCGAGATTACAATATTAAAGTTAAAAATTTTTTATAGCTTTCTTTTTTTAATAAAATAATAAATTAAAAATCAAATTTAAAAAGTTTCTATTATCAATTTTTAATTTTCTTATAGTAATTAAGAAAAAAAAGATTTTATAGTAAATTTAAGTTATCAAAGAAACAAAGCATCCTTTCTAAGCCATTTTAAAAATTCACTTCAAATTATGTTTTGTAAAAATTCGTGCACGCGAATTTTCTACTTATAAAAGATTTGGGGATATTTTTTTGTTAACCTAACAACTTTACGTCGGCCAACTTCTTTTTTTTTTTCAATCCCCCTCGTTGTTTATAAGTGATTTTTTATTTTGTAGCAAAACACTTCTCGTCTCTACTTTAATACTAGCTTATAACTTTTATAAAAAAAAAGTCATTTTCTAATTATATTTCGGACTTTAAATAATTCTAATAACGTTATAAAAATTAGTTTTAAAATTATTTCATTTTAAGGTGTAGTACTTTCACCAGCTAATTTATATGAAATCCTAAAATTACTTTTATAAACTTTTATTTCTTTCTAATTTTTTTTTATATTTCCTATATTTTATGAATTATTTTAATTCGATTTATACTTTATTAATGTAAACTTTTAATTTTTTTTTAAATTATTTTATCCTTCAACAAAAGACTCTTGATGCTTCCTGGATCAGCTCGTTTAGCTGGTATATTCTAAACATGTCTGGAACGAGAGGCTTGATCACTCTAATCTTGGAAGATGGTTTGCCAGAAATTAAAACAATTTTTTCTAATTTTGTTATTGTGCAAAATATTTTAAGCGGAGAAATGCGCTCTACTCATATGATTTTTAATTAGAAAATAATTATAAAGTTCAAATAAATATATATATAATTGGCATCCTCTAATCTATAATCTATTTATTTTCTTATAAATTTTGAGTTTCTGAAAATGTATTCTATTCTCATAATTAGACGATACAGATCATGTGAAAGTTGTTTACACGTGGTGCGTTGATTATTTTAATGGGTGTTGTGCTTCCCTTTCCAGATTCGAAAAACTTTCTGTTATGTATCATCATTATTAATAATGCATTGAGTTAATAAAAGGTTTATAGTATGCCTGATATTGTCTAGAATATAAATTGAAACTGAAAGAACAAGATATAAAGAAAAATTAAAAATTTATATTAAATTTTGTTTAATTTTTTATATAAAGTTCATTTTTTTTTGGTTAGTTAGTTATATAGCAAAGAAATTTGCTATTCTGTTTTTATTATTACATGAATTTAAGTTTTCTTGGTGTCCTTTTTTAATAAGAGGAGTTCATTGATTCAGAGATTTTTATTCTATAAACTAAATTATGCCAAAAAAAAATTAGGGATGAGGAAAAAAATATACTTGTGGTCATGTCTTTATGTTCTTATTATGTTTTTTTCGGTTGTAATTTTAATAATTTTAAAAATTATCTTTCTATAAATTTAAATTTTGAATCTCCTTTCAACTTTAATTAATTATACATTTATCTTAAATCGTAGTTGACTTTTTTTTGTAATTCTGTTTTTTAACTTTGTACACTTCCCTTATAAATCTGTTGTTTTATATTTTTTTTATTCATTTCTGGTAATTTATACTTTTTATTTATACAAAGGAATTTAAAAATAATAAATAAAAGTTGTTCCTCTTTTTATTTTTATTTTAATTAAATAATATAAATATGAATCTCCCTGTAACGGCTTTACACCGTTTAGCTTAGTAAATATTCAATTTTGTGCTGCATAAAAATTTGGATTTTAAAGATTTTATTAGTTTATTCTATTTTATTATTAATTTGTAAGAGACGACTTCAGATGATTTTACTTTGATGCAAAGTCATTTAAAAGAATCTTCTCAGCAAATTACTGATGCCAATGCGGTAAGCACGCTCCTTTCCCTCAGAAGTCTAAATTGCATTTAACTATTTTTAAATAAATTTATTTTTAGCTTCTCCCACCGTTTTGGTTTGAGTATTAATTTATTATTTATACAAAAGATTTTTAAGGCCGAACGAGAAGAATTAAAAGTGTTAAGTCATAGCTTTTTACTTGAAGATATAGAAAGTCGTACGCTTGGATATACAAGTTGAGAATAACATTTAATAAAATTTTTATTCCTCTGTTTCTTCTTCGTTCCCTACAAAATATTTAAAATTTATAAAGTAATTTGGGTCAAAAAAGTTTTGAAATAATTACTTGTAAACTTATTTAAATAATGTTCATTTTTTTAAAAGTATGAAAGCATTGTATCTTTAGCCCTTATTATAAGCGGTTGATTAAAATAAAACTTTGAGCATCTGACAAGTCTATATGATCGCTCTGCTTGATTTACTCTCCATAAATTATGCAATAACTAAAAAACCACCCCTTAATATATCTTTTTTCAAACCAAAAAAGTAATTGTATATAACTTTATAGAGTTTAAGATTAATAAAAGAGCAGGCATTACTTATATAATATTTTCAATTTGGGTTTAAAGCACAGTGGTATAGGAAGAGAACGTGGCATTAAAAATAAAATATTAAGAGTCTATTACTAACTGTCTCCATGGAAAGCAGTGTTGCACAAATTACTGAAAGCCCTATAAGAAATGCAGCAGCATTTTCAGATGCACTTTATGCAAGGAAGCTAACACTCTGGCTAACGGAGTTATTAAGTAAATTCACCTATTTGGTTTGAATATAGAATAAAAACTTATACCTTTTGCTTAGTAGAATAATTCGTTTTGTTGATAGTCTGATTTTATGTCTTTGATATAGATATTATGGATTTAAGACAATAAAAAGTGGTTCACGTTATAATTTATTTACAATTGAATTGTATTGGGTTTAAGTTAACTCAACATATATGTAATGCATCCGTTTTTTGTAGCACTACGAGAGTCGCTGGTGGCGCTAAGTAGAAAGCACTGATTCTTGCCTTTTAATAAATATCATTCTACACGGTAAAAATTAATAACTACTTATTTAGTTAATACTTCCACACAATTTTTTAATAATTCTTTTTAGGGTTCAATACAAGCATCTTTCAAGATGCCCGCAGTATAAGCAATCTACGCTTACTTAGCCTACGCGATTAAAAAATAGAGAACTATTTAAGTTTGCAGTACCCTTTTTTACTTATAAGAGTAAATTAACATTTAAAAACAAGCAATTTCTTTATAAATGCAGGCCTATGAAACCCTCTAAATAGGCTACAATTTTGTAAAAGAAATTTTAAGTATGTGCACGTTAGGTTGAACGAAACTTTAGAATGCGCCGTGGCTGTTATGTTTTGTTTGTTGTGGAAATAATAAAAATAACGCAAAAAATTGCAGTAGAGAATCAGCAATCATAAAAATTTTTGCCTACGATAATAAACTACGACCTTTAGTGATGCTACCTAAACACCTGCTAAATTTAAATCAGGGATATCGGGGAGCTCAAGTGCTAGCATTTCAACTACTACTACTATTAGTAATGATAATGAGAGTTATAGTTAAAAATTGGGCTTATAGTAATAATAACAATTAGAATATAACCTAGAATAAAACTTTTAACAAAAAAGATGGAATTAGCTCTAAATTATAAATTAAAATATTGAATTCTTTATTGTATATTATGCCTTTTACAGGTTTCAATGGGTTAACAAACCTGAATTATAGCGAATTTTTAACAAATTTTTTCATCATTGTCAGCCCAAATCTCTACACGAAATACAACAACAAACTTAGCGATGGATTAACGTGTTCTATTAGTTCAACTGTAGACTAAATTGAATACTTATTGCAGAAATTCGCTAAATAGCGGCGGCATAATGCGCACTAGCTTGCTTAGTGGCATGTGAACAAGATTTAATAGAGCTATCAGTGAATGTAAAGTTTGCCCCCAAAAAATATAAAAAGAAAATTAAAAAAACATTTTTTGGGCAATCGTATATGGAACAGACGTATACAATTGTGTTCATTAGCATACTTTTTAATATATACTAAGGTGGTCAGTTAGTAGTTGGTTGTGCACATGCACTAATTTGAAGCCACCCTCGAGCTAAATCTTAAATAAAAGGCTTGCTCCCGATAAGAAGTCTCGATTCTTGTTATCCTTCATAGTGGAGCGCGTCTTACGCCTCTCTACTAAAAGTACTACTTTGTTTGGCCATTAGTTGTCTTTCCAGTTTTGTTGGCTTATTTCTATTTTTTTGTTATATTATAAATCCTATTTACTAGTCTGTTGGCGCGCAGTATAATCATAGGATCTAAAGGCTTTAAGGTCGTATCAGTTCGATGTCCTTTACTTTTTATATTACGTCTTGGGTTTAAAAGCTTTGAACCATGTTGCAACCCCAATTCCTTCTTCTTTTCCTTCTTACCTCTTTTAGCTTCTTACGGCTAAATATTTTTTATCAGAAAGTATTAACCTTAAAGAGATAGCTCTTTTATTTTGTAGGCTGCCATCTGTTAGAATTAACTTAAAATCAAATGCTCATACCACATTTTCTATTATAATTCCTCTGGAGTATATATACCCATACCCTCCCTATACAGGAGGATTAACTGTAGCACTATAATAAATATTATATTCGGTCGCTAAATCTACGTCAGTTATAATTAAACATCAACTTCAAAAAAAAAATTGTTTTTTGCGCAAGTTGTCTAATTAAAAAAATTGTCTTTATTCATTAAAATATTGGTTAATCCTCCTCTGTCCCCGCTTTCCCATCATCTCAAATGATGGATGTTGGAATAAAAACTACAATTTCGATACCTTGATAAATATGTATTATTATACTTTAGTTCATTTAAAGTTATAAAAATGTCGAACACTCATTTATTGATAAACCATATATATCGAGCTTTAACCAACTACAAGGCCACGGTTTTAAAATTTGTTTCCTCTTCGAGTATTAATTACTTTTATTGATTTATTAAGAAGTCTTCGGTGCAGCTTTAACCAATGAATGCAAATTCTTACAATTTTATTAGCAATCTTATTAACTCTCTGTCTCCTTTTTAAATGCCTTGCTAATTAATTTTACTTTTAAAAGTATTACCGCTGGGATTCTTTAAAAATTTTACATTTTATTTATATACTACTTAATTATTATTGTGACTGGCCTAGGTTATCATGTGGCATGAATGCGCCACAAAAAATCTTTATAGAAGAAATAATTGACCAAAAAGCGAAGCAGTAACAGAAAAACACCAACAAGCAATACAGAACAAGTCGTACGGAACTCAAAATTTAACGAGAGCCAATAAACTTTATGTATACAATTTTAGTGAATTCCATTACGGCATTTATATATATAAAAGCATGCTCACTGCTAACGTTTGTTACTTCATTACACTGTTACCTACAATTTTTACTATAATAACATAGTTTTAAAAGCTTTATCATTAAAACAATGATAAGTATTCTAAAAGTTTAGTTAAGAGGTTAAGGTAAATGTTTTTATTACCTACTCCCAAGTGTATATTAATTTTTAAATATGCCTTTTTTACAAACATATATGAAGATGACTGTTCGTACTCGTGGACGGGCTCCTGGTAGTAAACGAAATGAGATAGATTTTAATACTAGCTCTTCTTCCGGTACTTATCTTATCAAACAGGAGAACAACTGCTTTTTAGTCTAAATCTCTTTTCGTAGAGAGCCAAAGTGAAAACAATAGCACTATAGGAGACACATCATTTACTACCAGTAATACTACTTTTAATTCATCTTTTATTTTGTTTATATTAATTTTACCAGAGTAATTTGCATTTTTTTGTAAAAGACGTTTGCTTATATCTAATAATAAAAGTCATATACTTTTTTTATAAACAATTTAAAAATATTTGGGGGCTTGGATTTATTTAGTGTCAAGTTGTTTATTTATAAAAAAAAATTAAAATAATTATAGTTTTAGGTAGGCAAATGCTTTATAATTTTCACATATTTTTGAAATTTAAATTTGAAATATATATTTTTGTAACTTTAATTATTATATGATTATCCATTTTAATTTCCTGTACTTATTACTTTATTACCATTTCGGTGGTATCTTTACTATTTTTTTTTAGAAAATGGAGAATATGCAAAGGATTAGTTGTTGGAATTTGGTTTATAATTACGTTTTATTCTAGTTTTACTTTATTTTTAAAATTTAAAACATTCCTGCTTAAATTTTTTAGTTGTTTTTACTAAATTATTATAATTACAACTTTGAATTCTTTTTTGTAATAACAAAAAAGAATTATTACACAATTATTATTATAGTTTGATTTTATCTATATTTGAGTATTTTTATAAAAAATTTAGAATTTGTTTTTTCTATTAGAAAGTAAAGTCGTTATTAAAAGTGAATACTTAAATTTTATAGCAACAAATAAAATAATATTTGAATTTAAATATTTTTATTACTATCGGGCAGTTTTTTGGTAGTTTTATTGAAATAATATACAATATACTTCTTTTTTTTTTTTTTACTATTTATCAAATTTTATTACTTAAACGTATTTGGTTAAGCCTGTTAACACCATTTTTAGGTAAAAGACAACTTCGAAAGAGAAGTAGAGTTTACTATAATGAAATTCAGTACTACAAACAAGTTTTATTATTACCAATCTTTTTCTTGAGTTTTTTTTAATTATAATTTTTTAATTTAGCTTGAACGGCAAGCATACGACTTTAGGAGATTTAATAAAACTTTCAAAAAAAGGAAGTCATTAAGACTTATGAAATTGAAATCTATTAATAAGGAATGTGAAAGTGAAGATCATATTGCAAGCGACGTCAGTGCAGTTGATGAGGAGATTATTAAAGGAAAAAAGCATAATATCGATGAGAATCACAAGGATTTTGTTGATGAGGAGAGAAATTTAAGGTGATTATAGTTCATAATACTTATTTAGTACTTCTATCACTGTTCGGTAGACTTTTTTATAAACATTTGTTTAAATATTATTTATTGTAAAATTTTTTTTTTTTTTTTTAATTAAATAACTTTTGTTTGAAGTTATTATTATTGTTAATTATGAGATTATTAGTAAATCGGTGATAGTTTTTATAGAATGCAGTTACAGCCTGTTATATATTTATTATTCAACTTTATTTTTAAGAGTTTTTATTTTTTTACTTTTTTTTGTATTTATTAAACTTGTTTAACGCGCAACAAAACGCAGTAATTTCCTTTTGAATTTCCAAGTAAATTATATCACTACTGGCATGAAAGTAGTTTAAGAAAAAAAACTGTAGCATAGTTTTTATGAATTGTAAGTTTTATTAAAATTATGATTTTAATTTTTAAATTAATGTTTCAGTCGACTATTATTATTTTTTAACTAATTTCTTAATTAAAGTTATTATTATTAACTTCTATTAGTTGTTCCTGCACGGAAGAGGTTGTTGAGGACTGCCACAGAGAAGGTCTTCGACCGCGCATCAAGCATGTGACTGTTCGTAGAAATAAGCTCAAAAGGTCCTATTAATCGAGAAGTGGGTGTAGTGTAACTTCTATTTTGTAATTGGTAGATACGATTTACGCCCGAAGCGGCCGCCTGTCGATCGCTTAGAGCCGACCTCCTATGGCCACCAGCAACCAACTGTTTTCCGCCCCGTATCCAGCCCGCCTCGCCAATATCACCATCGGAAAGAGCGCTTTAGAAGACGGGAGGTTGCGCACGTGTTCCTAGCCTCGTTTTTTGTAAAAAAATAGTTTTCTAAGACGGTAGGAGCCATTTTTTCGGGCAGTGACTCTGAAGGTTGTCTACTGGCTTATTTTTTTGTTTCTTGTTATTATTATTTTCGAGTAGATAAAAGCAGGGAGCCAATAAAACCGCATAACATGACTGCCGAGATGGCCCGCTCGCTCGCTTTCGGAAGAGGCCGAGCCACCACTTCAACTCCGCAAAGTATTTTTTTAAAAGAGTTCAGTTAAGTTTTTATGATTGGTCAGCTTTTCAGGCTGGCTGGCGGATGTGGACCCGATTGGCGTGGATGACGCAGACTTTGCTTCTGTGGGGTAAGACTTTCCTTATTGGCCTTCTGCACTTTTGCTACACCATCCATCCTCCAGCGGGCTTGATGAGCACGTGTTTTCCTTAAAAGAAATGATAATCCTTCCATTGCTGTATCCTGATCTTCTCGGTATTTTTTTTACCTTTCTTAGTAATTAACTATAATAAACGTGTATTTCTTTTCTGGTCAAGTTATTATTTTCTCCTCTTTTTTTTGAAAGAGAAGTTTTCTATTAAACCGATTCGCGGAGTTTTGTTTCACGGTCCTCCCGGCACTGGAAAAACGCTTGTAGCTCGCGCATTGGCCCACGAGTGCTCTCGGATTTCTGGGCAGAAGGTTTGTCCACACATATATACATACATACATAGCCAGTAATCTTTTTTATATACTCATTTCGGCAGGTAGCTTTTTTCATTAGAAAAGGCGCGGACTGCCTGTCGAAGTGGGTGGGCGAAAGCGAGCGGCAGCTGCACTTGCTCTTTGAACAAGGCTTGCTGTTCCTTTGAAATGGCTCTAGTTCGATTCCATCAATGTCTTCACTTTCAGCGCACCTCCTTCGGCCATCGGTGGTCTTCTTTGACGAGCTTGATGGTTTAGCGCCGGTTCGCTCATCCAAGCAGGACCAAATTCACAGCTCCATTGTTTCGACACTCCTGGCACTGATGGACGGGCTAGAAGACAGGGGGCAGGTAATGTTTTTAGTATTGGGGCGCATGCTTATATATATCAATTTTTTTGGCGCAACGTCTTATAGGTTGTTGTCATTGGCGCCACCAATCGTCTTGATGCCATTGATCCCGCCCTGCGCCGCCCTGGCCGCTTCGACCGCGAACTTCTTTTTTCCTTGCCCACGCTGAACCAGCGAATGGAAATTTTTAGAATCCACACTCGCACGTGGGTACCTCCGTTATCCCTAGCGTATGATTTTCTATCACTATTAAACCGCACCTGTTGAGAAAACTGTTTCAGATTAATCCAAGAAGTCATGGAACACTGCGATGGCTACTCGGGGGCGGATATCCGGCATCTCTGCACCGAAGCCGCCTTCGATGCGCTTAGGGAAAAGTATCCGCAGGTCTATTTTTACTATGCGTTATTATAAAGGGCATAGCAAACTACAACTTTTTTAATGACTAACAGATATATGAAAAACCTGTTCGTTTTCTGCTTGATACCTCGGCTCTTCAGGTCTCGAAACATAACTTTATTAGAGCTGCACAGAAAATAAAAGTTTCTTCGCAAAGGTCGAGTATCTTTTTTATTATAATACTTCTGAATTTGGTGATGTTTAAGTAAAAATGCTTTTAAAAATATAAATCTTGACTTTATTACCTTTTCAAGGAACCAGAAAGTTTACTCGAAGGCTCTTCCGAAATATATAGAACCGCTCTATAAAGTTATTATTATCAGTCTTTATCTTTTTTTATTTAAATTATAACTTACAGTAAAAAATAAACTTCAAAATATAATTATTATACTCAATAATAATAAATTTATTATGAAAAATAATTATTAATGAGCAAGTTATACACCAAGAAAATTATTATAAAAATAATTACAAATATTTTATTAATTTCTATTAATATAGTAAAATATAAAAAATACAGATAATAGTAATAACTATACGAAAGTATACGATAATTTTTACTTTATATTATGAAAAATTCTACATCTTTTTTATTAGAAAAAATTAATATTTTATTTAATGATGTATAAATTATTTTATTTTTACTTTATAACTTTTTTATTATAAAATTATATTATTTTTACTTTGTAACTACTATTTGTTTGCTTTAAATTTATTATTTATAGTTAAACTTTACTTTTTATTACATTTATATCAAATTGTTGATATTTTAAATATCTGTTTGGACTTAACTTTTATTATTTTTTTTTAAAGTACCATATATTAGTTTTAATATTTACTTTTTATATTTCTTTTGTACTTTTTCATACACCATGTGTTACTAGCTTTGCAAGTTATAAATCTTTTGCTCAGAATTATAAAAATTTTTATATTTTATTTTTTTTACTTTTATTAAATTGTTATCAACTTGTTTTTATTATTAAATACATTTTTCATGTATATTAACTTCTTTACTTAATAGTAATTTACATAATAATTATAATAAGTAAAAAGTTAATAAATAGTCACAACTTTTTTCGATATAAATTTAATTTTTTTTTATAATTATATTTCATATAATGTAGTAATTATATATATTTTTTTAATATGAAAAATAAACTTTTTATATTAACCTGTACTTAATTTATTTATATTTAAAAAGTTTTGTATAAAAAAGATCTGCCAATTTTTGACTTTTAAAACTTTTTTTAACGCTTTATTATTATTAATTACATTATTGCGTTTAATATATACTTTCACTTTTGGTTTTCGTATAACTAAAAAATATTTTTTAACTTCCATAATTTTTCCATTTTTTATTCATTTCTTTTTACTTTATCTTTTTTTTTGAACTTTAGTTTTTGTAATATTTTTATTATAGTTTAATATTTTTTTTATATACCGATCTCTAATTTTTTTTTATAAATACTTAAAAGTTTCCTCATATTTATATTATGTTTATTTTTTGGTTTTTTATATATAATATTTATTTTTATATAATTTTATATAACATTTCATTGTTTTTTATATTTTTTATATTAATAAACTTTATAGTCTTTTTTTGAAGAGCTTAATAAAAAAGTTCTTGAGTCCTTCAAATTGAAAAGTTCTGCAGAAAGAAAAGAGTGGATAGCTCAATTGCTTTCGTGACGTTCTGTTTTACTTGCAAATACTGTTTATTGATTGTCCAACCCCGTTTAGTTTTGAAGTGGACGACTGCCCGCCGCACAACAAACTCTTTATATTATTAAAAGGAGAAAAGTATTTTATTAAATAAATATAATAAGTAATATTTATTATTTTAGTTGCTCAACGATTCAAAACTTTTTTATTTTATTTTTTCTAATAATTTTTTTATTACCAACTTTTTAAACCAATAGAGGAATGGGCCAAAGCACGTATGTTGCTCCCGCGTTATTTCACGCTTTGGGCTGCGTAGTTTATTTTTAATTTAAAAGTATCAACTTTTACTTATAAAACTTTTGATTTGCTGTTTTTTCAGGAAGTTCAATGCATTGACTTTGCTTCTCTTAGTGCTTTTAGTGAAACTCTTTCTGTTTCCATTGAGGAAGTTATTATCTTTCTTATTTATATTTAGTTTTGTTGCAAACATAATGAATTATATTATTAATAAAACAAGGCGCTTGTGAAAAGCATAAGAGATGCTTTTAAGAGACCACCATGTGCCATCTATCTACCTCGTTTGTGCTTTTGGCTAAGACTCGCTAATAAAAGTTTATCACTTTTACTGCGAGCATTATTGGATGAAATACCTATAGACAAAGGTTTGCTTATATTATTCTTATTGTATATTACTATTATTATTTTATTAGGAATTTGTGTGCTTTTCACTGTTGAAGATACTGTTGACGTTGACGATTTGGAAGAACTTTGCGGAGATTTTCTCGTGTGGGAGCTTAAGCTTCCCTCTTGCGCGGCTCGGCATTCTTTTTTCCGTCATTTACTTGCAAACTTTTGCAACTCTTCATTTTCATTGGTTTATTATTATTATTATTATTACTATTATTATTACTATTATTATTATTTATTATTATTATTTATTATTATTATTATTATTATTATTATTATTATTATTATTATTATTACTTAGAAAAAGCAAACGATTTGCATACAAGAAAACTTACCGGAAGCCCCTTTCCAACTATTACGTTTGTTTTTAAAAACTTCTTCATTTTTAAGGACTCTTTGCGTTTACTAACTATAATAAAAGCTTCCAGCTGTTCAAGTTTCGAAATAAAATACTTTAACGAGGAAAGTGAAGCGCTTATGCGGGAGTTTCGTATATACTTACGACAAGTTTTGATACTTTGATACTTAATATATATATAAATTTGTTTTCATAACTTTAATAATGATATGCTTATGAATCTTTATTATAAACTTTTATACTTTTTTACTATTACTTATTAACAGTTTTAGTTTTACTTTAACATAAATTTTTATAGTAAATGTAGCCTTTTTATGGACTTCTTAAGTAAAAAATTTAAGAACGCACTATTTCACTATTAATATGACTTGTATACATTTTTTTTACGTTAGGTACTTAACCGCGTGTCAAAAAACTCGAGATTTCGTATTTTTTTAACTCCAGTAAGCTTAGAAGGTTTTTGTTTAATTGTTAAAGTTAAAAAAGTTAAAATATTTTTTATGGAGAACTAATTTTTTAATTTATTATTATTTCTAATAATTATGAAAGTTTTGCTTTTTCCACAATTTTATTGGTCAACTTTTTTATTCTCCGCTTGCAGAGCACCCAAAATACCTCGCAGTTGTCGATCAACCAATGGATCTATCTCTTATCATGCAGAAGGTATGTGTGCTAATATAGTTCTTGTCTTTTTTTTTACTGAATTTTTTATATAAAAGTTTACTTACTTTACTGTATTTCCTAAGTGTCTATATATGACTTTTTTCTGTTTCAGTATTTTATTTGTACGTTTCTTTGTTCTACTTTTTCACTATATTTTTACCAAAAATTTTTATAATAGATAAACGATAACGCCTACATTCGGCCTTATGAATTTGTTGAGGATATTAAGCTAATAACGAAGAACGCTCTCGTGTACTTTAAAAAAGGAGATTCTGTTACGAACCGCGTACGTTTATTTTATTATTGGTGTACGATTTATCAAACTTTTCTGAAGTTATTTTTTATAGCGTTTTTACCCTTCATATTTTATGATTATTTATTTGTATATTATTTCAGTATTATTCCTTATTAGTACGACTTTCACTTTTATTATTATAAAGCAGTTTTTTTTTATGAAGGCTATCGAACTTCAAGACGAAGTTGCCTCGCTAATGGCCGACTTGCGTGAAGAGTTTGTAAAAGACTGCGAGAGGCTTTACCGTATCAAACAAAAGTTAAATGGTTCAGTTTACCATTTTTTGGTCCCTTTTTTTAAAACCAGCCAGTTTTTGTTAAGAACAGTAAAAGTCTGAAAAACTTATTGTTATTGCTTTTATTGTTTTTTTTTTATTAAATTTATGATAGAATCGGATCAGTATTATGAAAATTGTGAAGCCGAAATCAATGTTATTAATAGCAATAAATATGATGATATTTATAATAATAATACCTCCGACATAAAAAAAACGCATGAAAATTTCTCGACGGAATGTTCTACCGAAAATTGTGTAGTGAACGAGCCAATGACCGCTAAGGTCGATGAGTTGTTAGACATTTTGGTCTCACGAACGGAAAAGCTGCCCATTAAAAAGTACGTTCCACTTTCACGCTACCCAATTATAGTGTATATAAGTAACGTTTTAACCTATAGACTGACTGAAGTTTATTCTGAGCTGAAAGAGCTCATCTATAAGCACCGCCTTGAAGGAGACAGGCATGTGACTCTGCAGGTCTTTTGACTTTAAAAAGTTTATTGCGCTTTGCTACTTATGCAGGTGTTTAGGCCATGTTTTCGTATGCTGCTGAACTCGATGAAATAAGCCACTCGGAACACGTGCCAACGAATATTTGTTTATAATAGAAAAAAGTTTTTTTTTTTAAAGATTACCCATTAGTAAGTTTATAAATAAAGAAAAATATTATTATCATTATTATTATAGCTAAACAGTTTCCACAGTTTAGCAGAGAGTCTTAAAATAGTGATCGATCTTTTCACAAATAAAGGAGAGTTTGTTGTGTTGAAGTCTAGCTTCTTTTACAATTTCAGCTATAATATTTTGGCTGCAAAAATAATAGTGATAATAATAATAATAATAATAATAATAATAATAATAAATAATATAATACTCCAAACTTCCTAAGAAAACGCTGAGCGAGTAGTCGATAGCGCCCGTGTCCAGAACCAACTGAGTAGCATTTAAAAATTTAAGAAGAACTTTTACACCCCGAATAGGCTCCACAAACGAAACTGCCACTGCCAGTTTCTCTCCTTTTCATAGTGTACATCATTATATAATATAGTAAAGCGAAAAAAAGTCAACAACCTTCGACCCGCCATGTGGCGTCCTTAAACACGCTTACCTTCGAAAAGTCGCTGGCAAAGTAATAAATTCTGCCCAGAAAGAAGTCAAGCTGGTGGACGAGCTCGGAAAGCGTGCTGCTTGCGCGGTCACTTATAAACAATAGAGAGCACCTATCTATTAATAAACCTCGTGTCTTTGTAGCTGGCAAAAATATTCGGCACTCCCAACGCCTCATATAATTGGTGGAAAAGAGAGTGAGTGGTCGAGTGGTCTTCAAAGGAAAGCTTAATATTTTGAATCCAATACTTATTTTCTATGGAATTATAAAAATAAGGCAAACTTTTAAAGTTTTTTCTGTTACTTTTCCTTGAAAAAAATTTTTTTTTACAATCTGAAAAAATTTAAACCAACAAAAATGTTGGGCAAATTAAACTGCGCCTGTCGACCAGACAGTACCTGTAATGCGGCTCGTGTCGAGTTCGATTCGGAGCTTTGATCCGAAACGTGGAGCGACAAACTCGATAATATTTTCTGTGAACGCGCTTATCTTGTGCTCCACAACCCCGCGAAGAATCTCTAGCGTTATTTGCTGCTTAACTATGGACTGTAAATGGTAATAGTAATAATAATAATAATAATGATAATAATAAAAATAAAAACAACACCTCCCATGTTATAGAGCTTTTAGTAGTATTAAGGATTTCTAATCCATTCAACTCATCCTAATGTGGTAGAGAATAATAATAATAATAATAATAATAATAATAATAATAATAATAATAATAATAATAATAATAATAATAATAATAATAATAATAATAGTAATAACAATAATACTTGAACTTGAGACAACTTCTCCTCTAACTGGCTTTTATCGGCCAGTAGGCTTTGCATGTGAGAGCTGAGTTCTTTATGACTCTCTTCTAACTGATTCAGAGCTTTCTACGAAAAAGTTTTAATGAATGTTAACTACTCCCGTTTATCGTATATAAAAAATTGTCGTTTACGTCATATTTACGAAGAACTTCCTCCTGTTCGCAGGCCGACTTGTAAAAGGTATTTAGCTGCTCTAAAAGAGAAATTTATTATTACTATTATTTTTACCAACAACGAATAAGGAAATACCGTATTGTTCGGGTGACAGAATGGCAGACTGAAAGGAGGCAAGCTCTTTTTCTAAAGAGTCGACATAAGCATCAAGCGCTGTATTTTTAGCTCTAAGCAGCTCAACAAACTCGGAGTTGTAGACTTCGCAATCAGCTTTTAACGATTCCTGTAGCAAAAATAATAATAAACAACATAAATTTAATAGTAAAATATTATCAAACTCACAGAACAGTGTAAAAAGGAGTCATGCAACTCCTGCTCTAACGTTAATCGGATTTGATGGTAGATTTTTCTTGCTTCAAGCCTTTTTATTATATTAATGAAGTTTACCAGAAGCTTTTTTCTAAAAGTTATTCTCTTGAACCTTTTGTATGACTTGAGTTCTCTTAGTTTCTCTAAAAGTTCTGTCTTCTGGGAACTTTCTTCTTCTAGAAGAACGAATAAAATATCGGGAGTCTTCCTTTGCATCTCGGAAACAATAAAATCCACGTCGCTTTTGATTCCTGTTATTAAACAGTGTGAGCAGAAAATAAAAAATCTACCAAAAGTAATGGAAAACCGTTGATTCGATGTAGTATTTGGCTGCAAGTTTTCTCAATGGCTTTCAACTCGGGAAGTTGGATGGCGGCCAAACACAGTCTCTGAAACAACGTGTCTGTGGGGCACACTCGCTCAGTGCCAAGTGTCGTGCGTCTTAAGGAATGTAAAATGATGGGTAGTTGGGTTCATAATTATATTTACTGACAATAAAAAAAAAAGAACCTATTCGTATTCATGTTATCATAGAATCGAATTTCGCATAAACTCAAAAACTCATTCAGTGTGAAATGAAAGTTCGGCTTTTCCTCTTTTCCTGCATGAAAATGATTGTTTTTAAAAAACGAGAGCAACGTATACAAAGAAATACCTCCTAAAAGCTGTGTATATTCCATAGTCTCACCGTTCTAGAGGGTTATAGAAGTAAAGAAATATACCGCACTGGAGCGGATGCATGCCAACAACCTGAGTAACATCGGGCAGCACTGGCGCTTCGGCCACGCCTCCAACTACGGCCGTCAGTTCCATTTTCTCTTTACTTGCCCCGAGAGCGACAGGTGTCACCACGTGGTCATCGATGTTGCTTTCCACCGCAAAGCTCCCTGTTTGCTCTTCCAATTCGCTGCAAGTAATCTCTTCTGCCTGCGTGAGTTTTTCCGAAGGAGCGTGGGGGAGAGCCCCTCCTTGAGAGTCGGTGATACCCATGACTTCTCCTAGACTTTCTCTTCGTCCTTCGCCTTGCAATCCCCCGTAACAGTCTGTCATGTCCATGTCTCCTCCCAAACTTTTTCTTTCCGGTCGAACGGAAATAACACTCTGCAAGCCGCCACAATAGTCCGTCATGTTCACATGTTTATCTCTATCGTTTACGCTTCCCGCGTCCTTCAGCACGGATAATTCGCTGTACAGGCCGCCATGGCACTCGGTCATGTCCATCCTTCCATCTATACTTTTTCTTCGCTGCTCAGTTGTGGCGTTTTCGAGGAGTTCACTGAGTACGCCGCCGTGACAATCAGTTGTATCCATTTCTCCTTCGGAATCTTTGCTTTGCACAATTAGTGCCCCGTTGTGGCAAACAGTCAAGTCCATGTGCTCCTCTATAGCTTCCCTCGACACGTCCAACTGTTTTCCTGCCACAGATCTTGTTAGTTCTGCTCTAGGCAAACCGTTGTAGCACTCCGTCATTTCCATTTCCTCCCTAAAACTTTTCCTTCTTTCTACATTAAAAGAGGTTCGTGACTGTTCATCGCTGAGCGACTCTTTAAGACGCTCCGCGGTCGCCAAATTGCTTCCTGTTATTAAAGGTGGAAGAGATTCCGAAGTGTTGGGGCAGAACTCTACTTGATCTTCGCTTAGCAACCCGCCTAGACAAACAGTTAATTCCATTTCCGTGCCAATGCTGCTTCTTCTCTTAGCAAAAGTTACTTCTTCATGGAGATAATCGGCAGTAAGAGTGTCCCTTTCAGTCTTAAGTTTATATAAAAAAGATAAAATTAATTTTAAAAAACAAATTATAAAAAACTAATATATATATATATCTGATTACTTAAAGGAAATATTAGTTTAACAAAACGAGATAAAAAGGTACTTGTATATTGCCATCACTAGAACCTTGAATTCGACAATCATAGTCGTCTGGGGTACCAGAAGAGGAGACTATCGGTTTCCCATAGTGTTCTAAAAAATTTCTTGGAAAAGTCTCGCTGGGGCTGGTTTGAAAGGATGAGAATGTTTCACGAGGGGATGCCGTTTCGTTAAGATCAGGAGGATAGGTCGGTGAAGGCTCCCCCCATTGCTCCTCCCTCTCGTACTCAGTTCTAAAAAAAATTAAGATAAATTTTCAGTCATAAAAAGAAGAGAAATCTAAAATCACCTGGTGTTCAAAGAATTATCAAAGCGAACAGATTTCCTGTATAATATTTAAAGAAAATTTAAACCAAGAGAATAAAAATTTATATAAAATTACCTCCTTTTACTATCTTTATGAGGGGTGTTAGTATCGCGCTCTTGTAAGGGAGGTAACTTTAAAATCTAGGAAAATATCCTTATGGAATCAATTAATAAAACTAAATCACTTATTAAAACTGCTTGCCGAACGTCTCCTGTTGAGAACACCCGCTTCCTTTGGTGGTTCTCTAAGAAAAAGCGGAGGTCATAAGTATAAAGTGGAAATGTGTGAAGAATTTATTAAAAAAAAATTTTCGAAAACAAAGTTTTTCCTAACTTTGAGAAAGTAGATAAAAACTTAACTTACCCCATCAGTAAAGGAGAAGCAACAGAATCGATACGATGAAGGCAAGATCTAATGACCCTCCCTTTAGTTTCTAACGTACCAAATGGTGGATGAACAAGAGGGCAAGTATTTAATAACCACATTAAAAATGCTATATAAATAAAAAGATTAATTCTTTGTTCTCGTATTCTTATTGAAACATTTTGTTAATTTCAGTACAACTAATTTTTTTAAATCAACAATAACTAAGAATTACAAAATAATATATCGATGGTAAAGAAAAATTGAATTGCCGGGCTGCAAAATTATTCACGGACGCGATAACTATTTGTAGGGCCACTCCGAGTAAGATAAGTACAAAAAACTTGTATTACAAAATGTATTAGTATAACTCGAATAATTTGGTATAAATTTATAACTAGTTAATTTTATAAAACTTTTAATAACTAAATTACCTCCACTGAATGCACTTTTTTTGTAATTTCCATACAACTTAGCTATACCTTTCACTACCTTAAGTTATATATCCTCCTAATAAAGTCCTACTTCGATTTAGCCGTGCTTAGTGTTTCAAGTAACTTAAAGATTGGAAATTATTAGTTTAAAAATAGTGCGGAAATAGTTTTTTCATAGTCATATAAGTACGTAATTATGATAATATGATATATATATAAGCTATGGTCTTTAAGGTTCTCACATACCAGAGGGTTACTAAGATAACTTAGAAAAATATAAAGTTTACTTAGCGCTCTACTTATAATAAGTGTAACGACAATAAAATGAGGAATCTTCTACCGTATAGGCTACCCTGTATAATGTCAGCCTCTGCCTACCTTTCGTAGTCCTTGGCTATCAACACAACCGAGTTTACTCGCTTTATTTAGGTAGTATAATACTAATGGTAGTTTAACTAGTTTTATAAAGCACAGCCAAGTATATACAATACCTTGCTTTATATATATATACAAATTGGTGAGACCTTATATTTTTTTATAAATATTAACAATTAAAGTAAGTGTGTAAACTAATATTAGAAAATAAACATATTTTGTTTGTGCCAGTTCTTAAATTTCTTTAACCTTTTTTCTAAATAAAACTTACTGCTTAGCTATCATTTTCTTTGAGGTTAACTAGTACTTCGCAATACTAATCGCTTCCTTATTTATAACGGTCTAAAACTTTAGTCTTCTCTCAACTAAAATAGTCCACTAATTATGATTATGGCCCAAATATTTCCCAGTTCCGCTGGTACCTTCCCGTTTTACTCTAGGCTACGAAAAAAATATGTCGATTCTCATAGTTTTAAAGCTTTAATATTATTGCATAAATACGAATAATGTGTTGTTTTTATTGAGCGAGCTTTGCCAATCGTTCGACCTTAAAAATCTATTAAAGTTAGTTCATATTGGATACTTTATTGCCATAAATTCAAAAAAAAATTGTAGTATAAGCATTACGACTTCAGGACTTAACTAAAAATTTTACTTTGTAATACATTTTTTTGTATACTAAATGGCTTCTCATTAATTTATTAGTTAAAGAAGTCTAGCCTATATACATCAACGCACTTTTTCCCGTTATAACCTTAACAAGCTATAAGACTTAAGAAACCATTACTAAATTACATAAGTTAGTATGATATTATATGTAAGTCGTTAAGTAGTAAAAATAAAGTTAATGATAACTTCGGGCTTGCTTTGCTCAATTATAGTATTAGTTACAAAAAGATACATTTCAGAGTAAGAAAAGAAAAGTAAAACTGCGCATGTCCTAGCAATATAATTAGTTTTTTGTGTTTTATATAAGAACGGATGATTATAATGGATAATACAATCCTGCACTTTAGTAGTTGCTAACTGACGCACCGAAAAGTTATACACTTCTGGTGCTATCCTTCGAGAATGTAACCCTCTGCTGTACAGCGTACTAGGAGTTTTACAGCTCAAACGTTTTTTGATACGTATATGCGATTAAACCGAGAAGCCCATGTTTTACGAAGATGACTTGGCCTTGGCAAAGTACCTGCAGCAGCAGGAAGATGATTATTTGTATTCAGACCAACTATAGTATGTTACTTTCTTTATTAGACTTAACACCTTTGAATACATTTTTTAACTTTTAATTTAATTTTTTTAAAAGAAAACGTCCTTTAAGTTTTTAAAAATAAATTAATTTATTTTTTTCACCGACCAACTGAGATGTTATACCACAAATAATCTCAAAGAATTTTTATTTTATTTTTTAAAACCTAAACACACCACCAGTATGGCCTCCTCTAGTGAAGGTGAAGAGTTAAGCCCTCAAAAAATTAAAAAAAGGCTTGTTAATAGGAATTATAAGTTAAAGAAGTCGGTGGAAAATAACACTTCGAGAGCAAGTGACTCTTCCCTCAATGGTAGAGATTCCTTAAAGGGTTTTAATTTTTATTTCTTTTTCATTCCCTTTGCTCAAAAATTGTTATATCCAAGTTGTATGGCGTTCATTATAAAAACACTTACTGCTACCTTGTAGATAAGAAAACTCCTCGTAGTTGGTCACAAGAAGAGCAACGACTATTCCTTGAAGGTTTGGAATTATACGGTCGTGATTGGGAAAAAGTAAATAGTTAATATTAGTAATTCGCTAATTTCTACTTTTTTTATTTTTTTTTTTATAAGCTTGCACAGCATGTCGGAAATAACCGGAACAAAAACAGTTGTAAAAGCCACGCACAGAAATACTTTATTAAATTATATCTGGATCAAAGTCCGTTGCCAAAGAAGGTTATTATTTTTTTTATATTTCGCTTGGGATTGGTAACAATTCCGCTGTGAAGGTCCAGGAATCCGGAGAGGGCTACACTCTTTCAGGAAAGCCTTTAGATCCAAACTCTGCTTCATTAAAGGCTTACAGCGATGGATGTACGTGTTAATTTCTTTCATTTTTTATAAGGGACTCAACAGCTTTTTATAGCTGCCTACAGAAAAGAGATCGCTGAGAGAAATGCCAGTAAAAGAAAAACTGTTACTAAAAAAGTTTCGAGTAAAGAATCACTTTCAAAAACGAGATTAAATAAAACTAGAAAAAGCGAGAAACAGCTCCATAAGGAAGATTTCATATCTAAAAATGTTAGAGACGAGCACTTACCAAAATCCGCGGGAGAGTGTCGACCGGAGCGATCCTCCGCTCGCCTTCGTGATTCGCAATCTAAACCTCCGGACTTCTGTTTATTGGATCCAAAAAGGTGATTGTTTTAAATTTTCTGATTTTTTCATAATCCTCTAACAGCGATCCGTCTGATTTAGCGGTCTACTTTCGAGCAGATTTTTTTCAACATTCTTAATTACTTTTTCATATTTTAAATTTTCTTGCAGCCACCCGTTGCAAACGGCTGTTTGTGAGCGGTACACTTCTCTACAACAACCATTTTCGGTGGAAGTTTCGAGCGCTGCTTTGGTAGTTATGGATTTTCACGCTCATCTAGCGAGCTCCGAAGTAATCGGATTTTTGGGAGGAATTTTTGACGAGCAAAAGAAAGGTAACCCGCTAATATTTGAAAGTTAATCTATTAATTTATTTAAATTTATCAAAATTATTGATTATATAAAAAAGGGTATTTTAATGTTTTTTTAAAAATATTTATAATATTTGTTCTCTGCTTGGTTTCTATTTGTTACTCTTTACTTTTTTTATATATCTTTATTGTTCGTATTACCCTTGTCACAATTAATTTTTATTTAATTTTAAATTTTTTATAATAAAATTAAGTGTAGTCAAAAATTATTTTTCGACTTTAAAGCTTTTTTATGAATTATAAAACCCTTTTTTAAAAAATTGCAGCTTTCCAATTTTTACATTTATATAATACAATTTTATGTACGTCTGATTGAAACTTTTTAACATTAATTTAATTTTGTACAAATAACTATTTTGTTAAATAAATTGTTTCTTTGAATTTTTTTTTGAAGTCAAAGTTTTTAATTTATTATTTAATAATTGTGCTCATTTACTGTAATTTAAATTTTTAAAACTGTAGAGATGAATTTATTAAGTTAATAAAGTTTTAATATAAAATTTCTAAAAATGTGAAAACATTCAAGATCTACAACTTTAGAAATTTTAATACAAATAAATTACAGTATAACAACAACTATATATTTTATTTAACTACAAAATAATTTTCATATTTATAATTTTTAAATATAATTTAGTAATTACAATACACAATAAAATATTCTCAGCTTTCAGATTTAGTTAAATATCTTTTCTTCTAATAAATTATTAATACAATTATTTTTTAAGGTAGCGTTAAAAATTAATCTAACTTCTATGTTTTATTTTATAATTTATATCGAATTACAAAAATCTTTCTTATTTCAGCATTGATTTTAAATTATTTTTTAATTAAATATAATACTTTTTAGTATTAAAAGTTTTGGAAGCTTTTGCCTGCCGAGCAGTTGATCAAGGGGATCCGCAGTCCGTCTCGCACGATGTAGAAACCAACGTGGAGATGGATCCTCAAAGTGAACTTGAGGTGAACTTTTGCCAATTTTCTAATTAAATTTTAAATAATTTTTTGAATTTATTATTTTAATTGATACTAAAAATGAAGGTGAGAACTTTGATCGGCGCAAGAAATCTTCAAATCGTTGGATGGTACCACTCTCACCCCACTTTTAAACCCGTCCCGTCCCACACTGACGTCGTGAATCAGTTTAACTATCAGGCAATTTTCAATTTTACTTAAAATTAAATTTGATTTAAAAAAGATTAAAAAAACGATTATAAGTTTATAAATGATTTTCTATTACTAAATTCCCAGTTAAAGATTTACTTAAATGTATACATTATTGAAAGTTTCTAATAAACTAGTTTATATATTGATTAATTATTGATCTTTTTATGCCACAGTTACTTTTCTATAAGAAAGCAACTCAAGCGCCTCCCTTTATCGGTGCTATCATTGGTATAAATTTTTAAATTTTCTTCTGATGAAATTGTTTTATAAAAATGGAAACTGGAAGGCCCTTACGATTTCGTGATGCCGCGAGAAGAGTCAGTGATCACGTGGTTTAATGTTAAATCTTTTGGGAGCGATGATAAGCGCGCGATGATTTTTGAAATCGAAGTTTTTGAAAGCGAAGATTTCGATCACGTGTCCGTAGAACTGGTTTTCATATATAAAAAAATTAAAATCTGAATATAAATTGGGTTTCATTTTTTTATTTGTAGCGCAAACTTGTTGAATATTATAAGACATTTCCGCACCGAATCTACAATTTTAACCAAGTTTGGAGGCACTGCCAAACTAAAGTGGATGAAGCGGTTTATGAAAAATTCAATACTGCAATTGAAGAGGGTGAAAGCAAATTTTCGCTGGTAGGCTGTAGAAATTTACACGAAACAATGCCGGTAGAAAAATCTACAGCGAAAACAGATATTTTTGCACACGATGAAAAAGAAAATCTTCAACAAAATAATTTCCAAGAAAACAGCAGCGAACTTCTGCTTGTTCCCCGAACATACTTGTCAAAATTAGCAGTTTCTACTCTTTCGCGTGTAACTTCAGATTCCACCGCTCGCAACGTGGTGCTGGACTCGTTGACTTATCTCAAAAATTCTATAAATTCTTAAATTTCCTGTTTTTTAATAATTGTTTACACCTTCCTATTTTCTAAATATTCTACAAAACAAGCAACTGCCGATCTATTTTTTTTTAAAAATAAATTCAAATCAACTACCTTATATAAAAACGACGTGCCTAAGAGGGCGTGTTAATTTCACTACTGTCTACTTTAATAATAAAAAAACAGAGCAGCAATTCAAAAAGAGACAAATCATAAAGTAAACTAGATCGAAATTAAAAAATAAAACCATAAGGTGAAAGTTAACATTTAAATGAAGGAAAATACCATAACTTTAAAGCACGTGTAACCAAAATACTAAGTTGACAAATCTTATCACAACTATTTTTTGATAGCCCAGCTTAGTATTTAGAAAATTAGCAGAAAAAAGTTAGAATTATACTACCATTACTATAAGTCGACCTGTAAAAACACAATTTTTGTTAAAGCTTGAAAAAGATGACGCATTTATAGTAAATATTGAGGCTCCCGTTGCAACACAATATATATATGGACTGGAAAAGTCTGTGTAAAGTCCAATAACGTAAAATATACACGTATATATTACAAATCGTGACAACGAATCAACTTATGATTTACAAAAAAACTTGTCAGGGTGAGTGAGCGGGTTATCTACGACAAGAATTATCGCAATTACAACGCCACCTATAAAAAGACCAGTAATGGAATAATAAAATACTTTACTTTTTAGTCAATAAACATAAGGGGAGGGGACTGAAGGACCACAAAAATTAGTTTAAAAAGCGAATGCCATAAAAACTTTATTACATCCACTTGAGAAAATATTCAATAACAAAGCAGGTAAAACAAAAGCCTTAGACAGAGGGAGGAGGCGGTGGTGGGAGGGAGTCCGTCTGCTGCTGGGCTTGAGGCTGATAATAGCCGGCTGAGGTGGTATACTGCTGCTGCTGCTGCGGTTGGGCCGAAGTAATGCCCTGTTGTGCGTAGTACGCCTGCCACGCGTACCAATTCTGCCACTGCTGCTCGAGAGTGAGCTCGCCAACGGCACTTAAAGAGCCATCCAGGGTCGCCTCCTCCGCACTGGCAGAGAGGCTCTGGTTCGGATCCTGCGACTGGAGTGACTCCTGAGAGTGCTGACCGGGCGTTCCCAAGTCGCCGCCAGCGCCGTAGCCGTTCACACCTTGAGATTGTGGCATGGGACTTTGCGAAGGCGCCTGGGCATAGTAGGCTTGCTGAGAAGGTGTGGGCGGCTGCTGAGTCTGCATGGCTGCTGCCGCGGAGGGCTGAACATACTGGCCGTTCCATGACTGTGGAGACTGGACTTGCTGGGGATACTGAGTATAAGCGGCGTAGGCGTACTGCTGCTGTTGGGCGTACTGAGGAAAGGCCTGGGGGGACTGCTGATAGGCCTGTTGTGGCCATGGCGACAGGGGATAGGCCGGCTGTGCCCCCACCATTCCCGTCACCTATCCAGCGTGGGAGTGTTAGTTATATAGCCGCCTTAAGTAACGTAGAGGGCGACCTTCTCCATAATTAAGGCTTTCGCGCTGGCCAGTTGTTGGGGTGTCCCCTGCAAAATAAAGATCTTGTAGGGCGAATTAGGTGGGGCCTCTTGTATGAGCTGGACTCGAGCGCCCGACTGCTGCTGGATCGCCTTAATGGTGTCGCCCTCTTACACATCATAACATTATAATTATGGCAAATCTCAAAAGAGAACAAAATAAGGAGTACTTGTTCCAATGACCAAACCAACTTTGTCTATTGGAACCTTAAACTCTTCGCCATTGGTCCCAAGAGAATTCTACGCAAGCAATTAGTCACCAAACAACCAACGTGGAAATAGTAAGCGCAAAAGCTATAGTGATCAAAAGAAGAGGAGCCAACCCCTTGAAGCAGCAAATCAACTTGAGCCTGTGCCGCTTGAACTAATAAAAGTGCAAGGGATATATTATAAGGAAAAAAAACACCCAATTCATATAACAAATACTTTGCTGCGGAGTGCCGGATATGATAAGCGCGCGGGTGTCCGGCAAGTTATCTACACGTGGCATGAGAGGCTTTATAAAGCGGGCAGGTAGGTGGACACAGCAACGGAAAAAACTAACCAGGACCCATCTGCACCATCGCGCCCGTATCCATTTGTAGTTTCTTAATAGTAGCGCCTTTCTGGCCAATTACGAGCCCCACAAAAGATCGTGGGATGATCTTCTCCACTAGAATTGTGTGCGCATTAGCCAAGAGAGCGCAACGAATTAAATACATGCTGCCTTGGTTAAGAACAGGAGTTCCGTATTGGTTAACGATGGTGGCAGGCCTGACCCCTTGAATACCCCCGTCCATGGCCGCCACGAGGTTATAAATAAGCTGCTTAGCTAGGTGAACGCACTCGGGCGTCCCCGTAATCTGAACCTGCATCAATAAAGTTCAGTACTTATTACTAGTCCTTCGCGAACATTAAAAGTACGTCTTTTTCGTTCCTCTCCACCACCAACTCTTGAATAACAGAAATGCGCGCTCCAGAGCGCTCCTGTCCACACTAATAAGTAAACGGACATCTCCCACGTGATGACTACGTGACCTGCAAGTCGCGCAAAGTCAGGCCACCCTTCCCAATAACCAACCCGACTCTGTCCGCCCGGACACCGAGCTTCTCTGTAATATGTCCGGATGACTGTGCGAAAAAATACATGTTAGACGACTGACCAATTTATTCTTCAATGAAAACAAAAATAGTTCGTAACAAATATGTACTGATGAGGGCGGATCTATAACTTCTCGAATGACAACCTCCGCTTTTCTTATTTGCTCTTCCGTCCCTTGAAATTTAGTTGAAATATAAGAAAAACAATAATAAAAGTTATAGATAAACCAACCCGCAACATAGACATAGCGGTTGTTCCCACCATCGTGGGATTCCGTGGCGACCTGCCGACCAGTTTTTAGTCACAAAAATAAAAATCACCAAAAGGAAAGCCAAAGATGTCATAACTTGAACACGGGCTCCGGATTCAGCCTGTATTTTTTTAATTGTTTCACCGTTTTTACCAATAACAAGCCCCGCTGAAATTAAATAAATGCATAAACTTGATAATAGTAAATATTTACTTATATTATTATATTAAAGTAATTTGTTTATTTTAAACATTTATATAATAATTAGTAAAAACCAATTTTCTTTTTTAACTAATTTTAAATTAATTAATAAAATATAAATAGTCTTCTTATTATTCTTTATAGAATTTCAAAATTTTTTTATAAAAGTATATATGAAATATTATTCTATACAATAAGTTCGAGAAAAAGTTATACGAAAAGGTACCCATAACGTTAGGAATTAGTACATCTTTCTTAGTGACGAATCCCAAACCGAGATATTGCGAATCTCTATAATATAACAGATTAAAAATTTTAACTCTATAAAGCGTTAACTTACAGCATAACGGAAGGCCGCTTTGGATCAAAACTATTCATAACTTCTTCAATTCGTCGTTTCTCAGCTAAAATCAATAGTAATTACAATCGTAATAATAATAAAAAGATGAAGTTAAGTAAAAACGAAATAAAGAATTAATAAAGAAACGAGAAATAAAAAAACATTAAAAATATATAATCAAAAATATAAATTTTGAAATAATTGTTACGCATACTAAAAAAGCGATTTACCAAATAATAATAGCCGCTATCTACCAAAAAGTGTATTTACTTAACAAAAAAAGAGACTCGATTCCAGTAAAACAAACATGTAAAGCAGCCCCAAACTAGCAGGACAATAGGCCGAGCATAATAATATTAAGCTTCGCATATATATAAAAGTAACCGAGAACACTAATTTTAAACTAATAAACCAAATTATCTACAAAAAATACTCAATTACAACTTATAAACAATTTATAAGTTAGTTCATCAAAGGCAAATATTTTCAAGATCTTTGAGTAATTTACCTTTAAAAAAGGCCGAACCTGTGTTTTCTGTTTCAATAAAAACACTACTTTATCTACTATGAACACAAGTATATTGAAATTCTAAAGCAAAATTATCACTGTTAATAGAAGCATTATTATTATATTATCTTCAGTAAAGATATTATCACTATAAAAAAAGGAAATGGTACAAAACGTAATTAATTTATGCCAATTTTTAGATCACCCAAATCTAACCAAAGCTGACAATAGTGACCTCCATCACAAGGCGTTTAAGTCTAATAAGTTAAATATCTAATATATATAAATAAGGGAAATAACAAAAAACGGCACGGGCTATGGGACAAGTTATAAAGAATACTATAAAAAAATATATATTTTCTCCATAATATTTTTTCCATTAAAAAAAGAAAAGAAAAAAAAGTTAAAAAAAAAAAAAGAAAAAGTTAGTTGAAGCCGTCAAAAGCAGCAAAAGTCTTACTTTTCAAAGCTTCTGCTCGAGCTTTGGCAAGAGCTAAGACATTCTTAAAATCAGTTTTAGAACTACTATCAACGGAATTGACGGCTTCTGTGGATGTCATACTTCAATTTAAAATGATAAAACAGTTAAATTAATATTAAGTTCTCAATAACTATCGGCAACAGTAGAAAAAGGAAAAAAGGGAGAGACGCCAATCTGGCGAAGTATAAAATGTAATCAAGCAAAGTACCATTTGTATTATAATTTCGCTAAAGCCGCGTGGCTACATAATACTAAATTATTTGGTATTTAATGGTCACTTAACAAAAAGTAACAATTTAAGTAATTTCAACCAAATTGTATATCATATCGAGCGTCTCATAAAGTTTCGATTACTTTTAACTAGTTATAAAAAGAATCCTGTGTACATCAACTATTAATAATTACATTTACATAATACTAGATTTTTAAAAAAAAGTTACAATTTAAATAATTATGTCTTAAGTTTGTGTTACATAATAGATTAAAGAATGATCGTCTCATAAGGTTTCGATATATAAATAGTTTATATGCACAAGCATTATTTTTTTTAACGAATTATTCAAAGTTCAGAATTTAAAGTTTGCCAAGTTATAATTAAATCGCTTTCTTTTTATTTTCCTTTTTAAAAAAGGTCGGTGGTAGTGAGACAACACAAGAATCATAGGGTAGGCGGCATTAGTATATCAACAACAGGTTCAAAAGAAGGTTTTACACCAGGGTATTTCTTAAACATGGCTTTACATCAGAACAGTGACCAACCACCGGTATTATTATGCTACATGGATAAACCACAGGGAAATTAGTACCTAAATTTCTCTTGTCTACAGGGGTTTAACCATATTTTAAGCGCTTTCAAAACCATGCGTAGAGCAACTCTCATACTGCAATCCTTATTTTAATAAAGAGCGTGCTATACTAAAAACGAAAGACCGAGAATAACAACCATTTAGCAGGGCCCGTAAGGCTTCAACCAACACAGCTGAGGGCTAACGTATAACTGGAACATAAATCATGACCAAATAATAGCCAAAGGCACTTTGACCTCAGCGCTAGATTAGGATGTTGCGGTAAGTCGTCAATGAAGAAATTTTATTTCATCCATTTTTTCTTTCCGCTAAAGTAATTTTTTTCGTTACACTTTGATAAAACAAGCTAATTAGCGTTTCTCGAGTGTTACTACTAGTTCCTCCCTAGAAGAGTATTTAATCGGGTTATTTCACCTTGATAGTTCCTTAAAGCTTCGGTGACCTCATCAAAAGTGTAACACGGTATAACCCTTGTATAACTCTTGTATTATCATAGTAGGATGATTGAAAAAGCCAAATTTTTTCAGTAGGTAATCCGCTGACAACGGGTGAATTTAGGATGAGCTTTAGAAAAAAATTACTAAATAAACCGTTAAATCACGATAGTAAAAAAAAAAAAAAATAAAAGGTAAAGATATCCTATTTACTTATTATTTTTGTATTAAAAGGTTCCAATTTAAAAACTATACTTTTTACAAGAATGTTACAAGAATGTAAAGTATTTGAAAGTTTTATTAGTATAGTATGAAAAAATTTTGTCGAGTTTCATTTGAAACAAAATTTGCATTAAAGAAAAATATTACAAAATAGGCGAAAACGTTTGGGATGCCTGAGTGGGCTCAGCACTGGCTACTAGAAACTTGCCATTTTTAAATGTACAGCAAACCTTGAAACAACTGTAATTAGGGCTAGTAACTCTTGCATGCGTATTTCTATATAATTACTAACTATATTATTGATTGGAAAAGTTTCTTTTGGAAGCATTTATTATATATAAATAAATTTAAGGAAGTTTTTGTAAGTAATAGAGATGGCTTCAGTATATTATGAGTTTTAAGGACGCCGTTACTGTGGTTACCACACCGAGTGAATTAAGCAGGTACACGTAAGCCGTGTGTAAATTTTGGTCAATTTTGAACTATTAATCTTATTAAAATTATTATTACTTGGTTAACAAAGGTGCATTTATCTTTTTATTATAGATCCATATTAAAAGCCACAGAAGCAAGTGACTTTAGGCCTAAACCCAAACACCTCCATGGTAGATTAAGCTGCTAATCTTTAAAATTGTTTATTTATTAAAGTACTTAATTTAAGAGTTAGTTGAACCTTTGCTACTGTATATATTTTTTAATAATATTCTTTATAGCGCTAGTGGAATACTCGAACAGAGGAAAAAATGATAAAATTATAGAACAACTTTTAAAAAGGACAAGGGAGAAACACTGGGCTGTCGTGTTAAAAAGGTTTATTTTATTTCAATAAAGGCAAGTTTAATAATGCTTTTCAGTCTTTTAGAGTAAATTTTTTTTTTTTAAAAATAATAGTTTAATCACGATTCATACCCTTCTTTCTCGCGGGAGTCTTTTTTTTTCCTCTCGACTTTCTCGCTGGGAATCAAATACTTTTGGACATCTCAGCGGATATTACGATAAATATAGTACAAATTTTTTAAATAAGAAAATTCTACTTATAATTTCCTATTTGAAATAGGCTATGAAATGTCCGAAGTTATTCGACAGTATTCTTCTTATTTGGGTGAGAAAATCTATACTCATAATCGTTTGGGGAAGGATCCTTTAAGGGGAAGTTTGAAGCAAAGTTTCATACACATCCAATCTACTAACAATCAAGAAATGTTTATTCTTTTTGAACTGCTTCTCGATCAGGCGGGATCATTATTAAAGCTTGTATAGTTATTATTATTATCATAAATATTTTCCATCTCTGTTTTGATTTTTATTTTAGGATCTTCCCCCTGATTTGTACAACAGCGCTATTGTTTACCAAATTTACTTTCTTCTCTTCGGTGATTGTGTTCGTTTGTATGTCCTTCTGAATCAAGTGGCCATCTACTTTTTGGATATATTTATAAAATTAAGTCGAGAGGAAGCAGTTAGAGCATTTCAGCATCTGAAGACCTTCTGCTCCCACGTGGAGAAGATGAAGTTTTTTACAGAAATGGGAGCTAAATTGCATACTTTTTTAGAAGTTCCAAAATTCAATTTGGTTTTTTTTATATTCTATTTATTATTATTGCTACCTTCTCCCTTTCTATACTTTTTTACTGTTTGTACTATTTATATTCTTTAAATCAAATTTCTTATATTAATTTAATAGTAAATTTATATTTATCAAATTTTATTTTCATAGAGATTGAACTACTTACTAATTTAAATTAAATTTTGTCTTGCGTTTATTATTGTTACTCATTGTATAATAATTATTTGTTTCTTTTTTAATATAAGCACAAAAAATTTATAAATTTTTACTTTTTTTAGAATAAATTTAATTTTTTTATGAAAAGTAATTTGGATTATTTTCTATATTAAAAATAATCTTATTTAATTTGAATTTCCCAGCTTCCCTCCACTTTGATTCCGAGTTTAAAAAAATACTTAGAAGAGACCGAATCTCCCGCGAAGTTTAAATCTCCCGTTGATCAATCTAATTCTATTAGAACCGCTAGTAGCGGAATTTCCTCTACTTACTCGCAATTTCGAGTGCCGTCAGGAAGAGGACTTCCTCAAGTATTTGATCAATCTACTAATTCTCAGTACTTGAAATTTCGGGATCATCACGAGAATCTGCTTAGCATGGACGATTCTTCGTTTCAAGATTCAAGCAACTTTAATTATAACGCACGCACGAATACTAATAAACTTTCCACGCAAGAAAGTATATAATTATTAAGTTTTTTTGGGGGTTTAATATTTTTATAGAAAAAGTTAGTTATTTTAACTAATTTTATTTTTATTATTATTATAGTTAATTTTAATTATTATTAATAGTTTTGGATCTCTTTGATCCTTTAAGAAATGATTTATACCCAAGCACGGCCCAAGCTCAGAATGATTGGTAAAGTTTTTATTTGTAGTTCTTTTTATTTGTTATCATTTCTTTAATAGTTATACTTATATATTTTTTAAAACTTAATTTTATTTTAATTTGTAAAAATGGTTTAAATTATTTTTTATTGCTATGAATTTTTTAAATACATTACTGAATTAATCTTTTTTAGATTAAAAATAATTTATTTATTTATACATGGTTATTATAATAATTATACCCAAATTTGATTAATTTTTAAACTTTTAATTTTTTAATTTGGCTTATAATATTTATAAGTTTGGTTTTTTCTTATTTTATAATTAAGTTCGAACTGAACGTTAGTGTTTACCCAATTAAATTTGAATTTTTATTTTCAGTTTTTGTTTAAAATATTTTATAAGAAAATTAGAAAAGAAATAATTAAAGTATATAAATTATTTGAAATTTTATTTTTTTAAAATATCAAACATACACCTGATGTATATAATTTTAAATTATATTTAAAATTTTACTTTTTAAAAAATATATTATACTTTATTGATTACGATAATTAGTTGAATTTTATTTTAAATTGTTATATTTTTTTTGTTTTTTAGTAAAATTTATTCTTTAACTTAATTTTATTGTATTTATAATGTTTATAATTTTTAGTTATCAAGTAAATTTTATATATTATCCTTTAACAGAACGCATAAATTACTACTTTTTATAACTTGATTTGCCTATAAATTTTATTTATCATAAAAATTCAGAATTTCCTAATTATTAAATAGTGATTTCGCACGTCAAAGTTTTGAAGCTCCGCCGAAACTCGAAACTTTGCAGGAACCGTTTAGTCTTCCTTCTCATTATAGAAACGATTTTATTACTTCTTCTCAGCAAATCAACGCATCTACTACTGAATTTTCGTTTTCAGACCGTAAAGATTTCTTGCAGAGTGATTATGATTCCGCTGAAAAAGACGTAAATTATTTGATGCTTATTATTTATAATTTATAATTTTTAGATTTACTTTTATTATTTTGGATATTTTCATTTGAATGACAAAATTATATATATAGTACTAATTTTTTTGTTTAAAGATTATTTCTTTAAAAGTATATTTATTATTATATTATTCATAATTGTACTTTTTATTTTGTAACGATTGTCTAAAATTTTTATAAACTTGATTTTACGTGTAAAGTTTTGTTCCAAGTTTATTTTATTTTTAGTTCATTTTTTTTAGCATATTAATTTTAGTTGTACTTTTGTTAGTTTGTATTCTCTGGATATTTTAGGTATGAACTTATTACTTTTTATTTTTAGATTATTTGCTTATAAAATTATTTTTCTTACTATATTAATTTAATTTATTTGTAAGTATATAAAGTTTGTTTTAAGATTGTTTGCTTTTCAATTACTTTATAGTTGATTATTAGATCTATAAAGTTCTTTACCTGTTTTGAATTTAATATTTTAATTAACTTCAGATTGGAGCTTGTCCTTATCTTATTTTTGTTTTATCTTTTTAGAAGTTTTAACTTTAAATAAACATTTTAGTTAACACCAATTTCGATTTACATTAGTACTCCAATTTTTAATTATAAATTTTTGATTTTTATTTTTATTGCTTTAGTTTACTATATTTTTTAATTTTTCAGTGTTTATAATCTTTTTTAAAAAATATTAGTTTTATATTTATAAATATACTGCTTAAATATTTGTGTTTATAACATTTTAAACATTTTAAACTTTTTATAAATTAATAACTTTTTTATAAATTTTTAGTTCACAATTAATTTTTTTTAGATTCCTTTTCAAAGAACTTCCTTGAATCCTTTTGATTTTCAGTCACCTTCCGGTTCCGAGGAGCGACCGACTCATCGCAACACTAATCCCTTTCTTTAAAACTAATAAATTTTAATTTTATAAGAATTTGAAAAAATAAATTGTTGGCATTTAATTATTTTTTTGGAATTTCACGTCTTTTCATTATTTAAATTATATATAAGGTTTTTCATCACCCTAAAAGAACTTATTAAAAGTATAAGGATACTTATATTTTTTTACAGTATATAATCATTAGATACAAAAGAAACCTTTTATATCAAACGTTTAATTTTTGGTACATTTGCGCTGAAATTCTCAGAAGCCTTTCTTAGGAGTTCAGAGTTCGGCAAACTAAAAACAATCTATTTTCTAACAAATTATTTCATTTAGTAGCGAGGAATACTTTTTATATCAAGCGTTCATTTTTTTCCTTAAAATTGCTTTGGAATTAGAATTCGAGGCAAACTAAAAGCAATCAAATTTAAAGGGGCGTTATTGCAAAGTGAAAGATGAAAGAATCATAAAATGTATATGGCGTATTTTAGAAAGGAAAGAAGTTCATAAAGTTTCTAAAGCGCATTTAAAGATATTTAATAGTGATTTTGAGTAAAAGGTAATTTTACTTATTACATCTGGGCTCTGCAAAATTTGTAAACGATTACTTTTCTATATAACTATTTAGTAAAGTTTACATCATAGCCATGAATATTTGTTCATTTTTGGTTTTGCAAAAGTTTACATATTTATTTAAACTTCGTTATCACAAGGAAAACTCATATTAAAGGTTTTGTTCCATATTAATATTTAGTTTCTTTTTTTGCAAAAAAAGGATTGAAAAAAAAAAGTGACACGCCCTCTCGTAGACATAAAAAAATTGGATTTAGGCGGTTTACTAGGAGTTGTCGATAGTTTTAAAAAATTACTTAAGCGGTGTTTCGAAAGTTCGCCTTATGACGCTCTTACTAAATGAAAAATATATATTTCAGCTATTTAACAAATTGATGATGCACCGTAAGTTTTAACAAAAAGCATAAGTTTACTATACTATAGTCGTAAACTTAGTTCTTCATCTTTAAATTTTTTTAAGTTCAAGAGCGAATACTTACAATAAAGAAAGAAACATGGATAGTTGAGAAAAGTTCCAGCGATTAAATGTGGTGCCAATAAAGAAAACAGAGAAAGCAAACAGAACTAGTTTTCCATCCTGATCTTGCACCGAAATAGGAGTATAGTTACTAAATTATGCTACTGTGAGGCAGGTATGTATTTATTAAAATTTGTTAGACTCCACTAATAAGTATATTAGATTAATCTCTAAGTGCATTGTTTAATAAGCGTGGGATTTGGTTAGAAAACTTTTATATGAGAACAATCTATCTCTACTAAGTTACTAAAAGAAAAAAGAAAGAAATCTATACACTTTTAAAATTCTGTATCTAACTTAGTACAAACGCACTTATTGTTTTTCGCAATCCTTAGGAGGATCTAGCCGTCCTTTAACTTGGTATAAAATTTATTAAGTAGAAGTATATTTAAGATAATCGCAAAGTTAAGTTTTATATAAAATTAAATCCTACAACAAATTTAGTTGCATATACAAAATCGTTTATTATGAAATTTTGTTTAACTGCCAAGTATAATACGTAGATTTTCTACATTTATGAAACGTGATTTGTACATTACTATTTTTTTAGCATTATAAAAAATAATTTTGTTGAGAGAAGTAGAACAATTTAACTTTACGAAGATAACAGGAACCATATTTTATTAAAGTTTTTGATTACTTTTTTGTAAAATAATATTATTTACTTCGACGTAAGTTGAGAATTCTTCTCAAGAACTCTCGACAGAGAAAAAGGAGGAGGAAGTGCGCTATATTTGTAAACCTATATATAAGTTAAGATATTTTTCTTTGTGGTGCATAATACTATAATAAAAATTAAAAAATTAAAAATAAACCTTAACGTTTAAAATAGCCTTTTACTTGTTAATACATATTCAAAGTAATTAATGTAAAATGATCTACTTTGTTGTGAAATGTCAGCATATGTTTTTCCTCGCTGTTTTATTATTAACTTATCGACTGTTACTTAGCAGTCTGTAAAAATTTCAAAATCTTTCTTAGTTAATATGAAAGTTATATATATGACTTTTTATTATTTATGCCTTCAAGTTTTGTATACTTGCAATTTCAGTTATAAAAACTTGTAATTTGGGCAATATGTTTAAAAAAGATCTAGTTTGTACTGATGTTTTAATAAGGTCTTTTTTTTTTCTTTTCGTAGTGTTAAGTATGAATACTATGGTTACTAGTGAAATTAGTATATCTTTGCCTAACCACCTTCCCGTATAATTTTAGACCAGCTAGACAACATTTTAACCTAGAGAGCCCGACAACAAAGTTATAATAATTAAAATACAAAATATACTAAATACCAACAAAAAACTTAGAAATTTTCCAGTAGTAATAAAAAGACTAATTGAGTATGATATTTTTAAATAAAGGCCGACGGAAAGTTTATAGGTTTTATATAATACTAATTATCTTTAAGTATGTTTAAAAGCAATACAAAAAAATAACAAATACATAGAAAACGTAAAAATTATTATAGTTTCAAACAATCTTGCAAAACCACCGACCGATATAATTTTGTGGAATTGTAACTTTTTTTTATAAAAAGTTAACATAAAGCCCTAAAAAAATTAATAAATTTGCGCGATAATACATATATATGTATATATAATAAAAAGTCGGTGACTTAGGCTAGACTAAGGCTAAAAATCATAAGTAAAGAAAATATGCCTTCCTCTCTTTCCAAACCCTTCCTAATATTCTAAGGTGGCTTTAAAATTTAATGACAAATTAAACCTTATGTTCATCAAATTTTAGTCCTCCATTATCCTTCATTTTCCTTGTAAATTCGTCCTATAATGCATTCAAGTTATAAATTTAAAAAAAAAAAATTTAAACTTTAGTATATACTACCAAGTATAAAAGAGTATTATTTAAGCTTACTTAGTACGAATAAGTTTGCCTGCACGTATCAATATTTTAGTATTAACGCGTAAAAATGCTTTGCTAACTAAAGTAGGTTAATAAGAACACGTAATTTTAATCCTTTTTATATCGGATGACAAAAATTAATTATTTTCAATTAGTTGGTATTAAACGTTTATTAGAGAGATATGACAGTATATATAATTCTCTCAGGTAACTTAAACCAAATTCTTTTCTTTCCCTTCTTTCAACATTAATAGAAAATACAAAATGTTGTCACTGTTTTTGCATTTTACAATATAATTGTTACGTTGATTTTAATAATTGTAATACACCTCTTTATTTGAAGGAAGTGATAAAGTTGGATAAGTTGGCTCAGGATACTTAGACCTTTCATACATTTCTATTTTTATGATGGCCTTTTGTTTTTCTAGTTCCTCTATATCCATTAAAATTTTAAGAAAGTTTATTCAACATTAAATACGACGAAAGTTCAACTATGGTAAATAGGGCATGCCTAATTCTTCCCTGAGTTTATTTTCCATGTCCTCTAACTTTTTTTGAGCCTCTATGTGCTGTCTGATAAAATTAACTAAATTGTCTTTCTCGTTTTTAGAAAAACCTATAAACTAACAAGTTGTTAAAAAAGTTATTAGTTATAAGTTATTGAAATATAGTTTACAACTTTTGTTGGATTATTGTGTGTATTCATTGTCCTAAAACTTTTAAGAAGGATTCATATATCCAAAATTTATTTTATAATTTTTTTAAGCTATAAAAACAAAAAGGGAATTCTATAAAACGATTATTTTCGTTGCAAGAAAACTTATACTTTTAATGAACAAGTTTAAAAGCGATGAACACATACATAAAAGGAATTTAATTTAAAATTAGGCTTAGTTGCCTTATTTGTATCGTCTTCCGCAGGTCATGCGATTGCTCTCTGTAAGATATTAAATTCATATAACTTTAAATGTACTAAAAACTAAAAGTTACTACTGATTAAATTATTTTGAATTCCTTTTTAGAAAGACAATATAATAATCTTTAATTTTATTCTGAGCAGCTCATACCATTTCCTCCCTCGAATGTATTATTTATTTAAGAGCTTTTCAGTTAGCTAAAAGCGTAGGGTAATATATTGTAAAAGTTCTTGCTTGCCTAATTGTAAACACTTGAAAGAAAGACATTTAAGTATTGACTAAAGTGACAAGTTATTAAAATTATACAATTTTAAAAATAGAAAAAAAGGATTACAAAATAATTTACTTAAGACAGAAAATAAAGTTTATAAATTCCGTCCACTTGCGAGTTTACAAAGGTTGTCAGTTATGCCTCGTGGTCCTTTGTAACAAAATATATAAATTTTTAGTTTTATTTTTATGATTATTTCTCTTTTTCATCGTAATGATAATAAGCTATAAAAGTTTTACAAATTCATGTGTAACCAACGGATATTACTAGCGGAGTTTCAATTATGTTAATATCATGTTATAATTAGATGTTATAAAGGTATTTCTCCTAAATAAAGTCAGTAAACTTTAACTGTACGACTATACTTACATGTATTAGGGTTAAACTTAAAAAGTTCTTTAGCACAATTTTTTTAATTAACTTCACTCCCTAACAAGATGGTCATACCGGAAGTTTTTAATAGAGCGATTAGTGTTATATTTTTATCAAATTGCTTGACTGTTTATACCTTTAAACTTCGATGCACTTGGTAACTAGCCATGTCGGGCAAAGTAAGAATATTTACCGATGTATGACGTATCCCAGGCTACATACGCTAACAAAAGTATCTTGTCCCATATAATAGGTCTTATATTGATTTATAAAAACTGGGATCAGCTAGATGGAAAAGAGAAAATTTTGATACTTACTTTTTTTTTCTTTCGTTCTACTTTGGTAGAACATTTAACTAGCTAACATGTCTAGACTGTTAGTTAGTTCTTTTTATAAAAGTAAGTTTATCCTAAGCTTTGACCTTTTGAAAGATAACTTAGGTTAATGATAAACAGGTTTTTGGCAGTTGACTAGTGCCTTGAAAATTAAGAGGATTAAATTAGACCTAGGCTAAATAACTTAGGGTTGATAAATACTTTATGATGACTTTAGAATAGACAGAAAACTAGTCTCGTTGTTGTTTTCACGTCCTGTGCAAGGATATAACTTTAACATCTTTGTACTAATAAACTTCGAAGAGCTAAGGAACTAATAATAAAATTAGGGTCTACTTTTTTGATGAGCCCGCGTATTTCAGTAGTTTTGCAAAAAACTTACTATAAGTTCATCGCCTATTTTTATGTTTATTTATTTCTACAAATTAATACTTTTATGATACTCGCTAAAAATACTATGATACAGTATTTATCCTTCTTTTAATATATCTTTCTGTTAATTAATATAATGAAAATACTCTAATAAAAGTCCAGTACTGCTCTGGCGTACTAGCTAACGTAGCTGCCAACAAAACCCTAAAAAGATAAATTTGGATCTCGATATTAAAAGAATTTTAAGCTTGAGAATTATACTGTTGCCTCGAACTCAAAGATATAGGACATTTAATCAGATGCATAAGTGTATTACTGAGCTATGACCCTACTTTCCTAGCGAACGACAAAGCTAACCCCTTCTTCGACGGAGGAAAGAAGGAGAGGTAATTAGTTAATTGTCACTTACAGAGAGGGTCTCTATATTTTTAAAGGCATATAAGCACGTAGTTATTAGGGTTTAATCTTCTCAATGATATTTTATAATAAAATAAACGGTTCTGATGACAACTCTAATAGTAAGCTTTATAAAAAGGTAATTTACTTGGACTACTAATAATAACTAATAGCAGATGCTACAGTTTTAAAGAACCGACCTAAATACTTTCGTACGCAATAAAAACTACCGGAACAGTTTTCGCAGCTTCCGTTAAGTATGGTATACCCTTCATGAAAGTAAGGATTCATGACCCACAGGTCGATATCGTAAATCGCACGAAAGAGATCGTTCCTATATAAAAATTCGCGTCTGCCGGCGCTCTTAGTCGTGCGGTTTCTTCCGATAGGTAGAAATATTAACGGCTGGCAAACGAGCGCCATCCGAAAGCGGATTAAAAGGTAGATGCAAGAACATTTGTCCCGGGTGAACAGTAGTGAAATTTTCGGCCTTAAAGACAGAAGACACTGCCTAAAAATTTATGCACCAACAGGAAAGAGCTTCAAGGGGCTTGTTAGTTTACTGGACACGGGCTAAAGGACTTCTTTTATTGTCCCCACTTAAAAAAACCTTCAAGGTAATACAGCCTTAAATTTTTTAGTCTCGCAAGACTTCTAAACAATTTGGAAAGAGAAGATTTTCATTCCATTAGAGTTATATGGAAGAAAATTATAATTATAACAGCACTCCCTACTCTTAGTACTGGTTGAAAGTACTCTTGAATATGCTAACTATATATACGATGAAAACTGTTTATCATGCATGGTTATATCAGCAGAGCCGCTAACGAGAAACGGCAGAGACTGAGTGTTAAAGCTATCAACTATTTGATTATACTAACTTATATTGCACGTTCCAACACTATCGTGTCAAGGTTGGGACTGCCTAAAAAACTCTGAAAACAGGTTATAGTACGCTAACTGCCACGAAAATCACCACGGCGAGTTACGGGGAATGTTTTATACTACCCTTCAGTTTATTTATTTATAAGAACGTTACTCCCTTCACTCGAATTTAAAAGAAGAGCAAATGCGTTGTTCAGCTTTAGCGTGCTTTAATAATTGTTTAAAATAAAAATTTAATCTGTTTAAATATGGTTTTCTTAATCCTTTTAAAAAGTTCCTTTAGAGCTATTAAGTTTTTAAATGCACACTCCTTCTAGACGCTAAGCTCTTTTTGATCCTCTAATCAATTATAACAACACTAAGTTCGGCCCTACATATCGAAACAGTAACTCAAACTTGTCCTCTACCCTATCAAGCTAGACCTATAAACTGAAGTATGTTACGAAACCAAAGCACAAATTCTTATTGTTAATTAATATAAAATGAATATGGGAGATCTACAACTTGTATTTCGCCGTTTAACTTAAAAATGATACAAATTTCATTTTTATAATTTAACAATTTGCCCACAATATTCAGTACAAAAAAGTTTGTTATTGAAAGAAGATAGTTTTCAACCTTGTTTTAATTTGAAAAAACTGCTAATGAATCTTTTTGACGACTTTGAAGAACTTGCACTATTAAAGACAATGCCCAGAGATTGGCACAGACGTTTCAAAAGTGGTGATTTTGGCACGAGTGTTAAAGAAGGTCCAAGTTAGCTACTTTAGGCAATCGAGGATAGAGATCCGTCAAATGCAGGATTGACTTGCCTAAGCGGCCATTTTCAAGGGATTGTGTGCAAGGTGCCCAAGGAAGGAATTCGGGTACAACATGAACTAAAAAACTCGTACTAAAAAGATTTGAGTTCTTGCGAAGGAACGAATTTTAATTTAACTGATAAAGAAGTTTTATTTTTTTTTTTTGATACAGTAAAATTGCTTTAAACATTTAAATTGTTAATAGCGAATTAAAAATTGGTTTTTATCAATATAAACACGTTTTATTGGTCTTGTAAAAAAATAATATAATTCTTTTAGGTAGTTAAAAAGATTAAATTAACAGTAAAAAAAAATTAAAAATTTATCAATCCATAATAAAATCATAAAAAGCGTTAATCCAAAAGTCTGTTTAGTTTTAACTTTTGCTCTCCAGAAAGAGCATAACTTGATTGGCAATTTCGGAGGCGTGATTTTCTTGAATATATTCTTCACTTGTGTTGTACTCCACATTTAGTTGGTGTGCGGCGCCCGGCACGTGCGTCTTAAACCAATTGCCGAACAACGTCCCAACCTTCATTAAACAAAAAGAAATAATATTAAACTTTTTAACAATTAAAAATCGTAATTTATAAAGAAACAAATGCCACAAAAATAATTTCTTTTTTCGAATTTATTATCATAACTGTTATATAAGATAATAAACTGTGAAAACTTTTATAAATGAGGTAAATCAATTGTTTATAATAAAAGTTTCTTATTCATAAGTAAATTTACTTTGTTAATAATATGATAAACTTAAGTAAAATTTAGTTATAATAATTTAAACACAATAGAAAATAAATTTAAGCAAAATTACTTCTATAATAAAAATTGAGTAAAAAAAACATTTTTCTAGATTAATAAAATAATAAAAACTGAAAAATTTCGTTGATTAGCAAGTGAAAATATAACAAAATTAAAATATTTATTAAAGTTTATCAATAAATTTAAAAAGTATAATAATAAAGACTTACAAGAATCTATTTTTTTTAAAGAAATTGCATTATTTAAACTATGTTTTTAGGCGTGAATACGTGATTACTTAAAGTATAATAATAAAAATTAAAAAAAAATAAATTTAAAACACGCTGATCTTAAATAAAAAGGCTTTTTGTTAACACGAAATTCAGCAGAATTTATTTCTTTATACCAAAATATATTTTTTAAAAAGAAATTCGTTGCGCACTACCTAAACGTAAACTTTTTGTTTCACTAACGCTAATGAGTAAAGGAAGTTTTTTTAAGTAATAATAAGAATAATAATTAAATTTAACAAAATATTTTTAATTAGTACATCTGCTAACAAAATTTCTTTAAGTTTAAATAATAAAAAAACAAACTCAAAACAAAATTATGCAAATTATTTAAACAACTTTATAGTTTACTGTCGTCCTTTTTACAAATATATAAAAAAGCACAACAAGAAAACTTTATAATAATAATGACTTGTAAAAAGATAATAATTTATATTACTCATATAAAACAAAAAAAATACAATTCACATAAAATTTTACAATAGTAACTAGTAAAAAGATAAAAACTTGTAAGTGAAAATCATAAACTCCAAATTTTGAAAAATAGAAAATTTATATAAACTAAAGCAGTACATAATTATTACTTGACAAATAAATTTCTCTAATTTAAAAAAAATATTTTTTTGAATATTAATAAAAAACGCTCCGTAGTCACATGGTAAAAGTGTACTTCAGTTAAAAGTAACACAAATAATTTTATAACAAAACTCGTGCAGCAGAAAAGATCTGCTTTGAATTAAAACATTAAAAAAATATTTAATTATAAAATCTAAAAATAAAAATAAAAAGTAATAAACTAAAACTCGAAAGAAAAATAAAGGACAAAATCTTTTTTTTATAAATAATTAAAAATTTCATTAAGATAATTCATCACTTCGTAATCTTTAGAAGTTAAGATAAGCATTGGCTTTGTGAAATTTTCATAAAAATCTGTGAATTCAGAAATTTTTTTTTCGCTGCAAGGCAAAGACCAGTCACTGAAAGGATATGCAAAAGTTAATATTTTAATAGTAAAAATTTATAAAGAAAAGAAAATAAAAGTAAAATATAAAAAATCGAATTAAATTTAATAATTAAATAATAAGCTATAAAAAAATATTTTAATTATACAAAAATAAAAAAAAATCTTCTGCTATAAACAAAGAAATTTACACGCAGAAGACAAAGAAATTAAAAAAACCTTAAAAAGAATTATATTACAAATTTATAAAATTTAATTTATAAAAAAATTAATGTCAATTACAATTTAAAACATTTAATAGAAATTATAAAATACATTTAAAGTAAAAAATAATTTATAAAACTAGAAACTCGTTAAAGAAAATTAAATTTATAGATGGAAAAATTTAAAATGTATACTTATTGCTTAATAGTAACTTATTTTAATTATTTTTTTCAACCTTTATTATATATTTTTTTCTTTTATATAAAAATTTATTTATTAAAATAATTGCAAAAAGCAATACTATAAAATATTTTTATAAAAGCAATTTTATAATAATTAAACAAGTTTATAGGGGATTAATAATATACAAAAACATAAAACTAATATATAATTATTTAAATTTAATAAAATGTTAAAACTATGAAACGTTTAATTTAAATATAATTAAATATAAAAGATAATTTAAAAAATGTAAATGCCGATCTAAAAATGATCAAAATAAATTAAAATAAAATAAACTAATAAATCAATAATTTATTACAAATATTCGAATTTTAAAGCAAAAATAGAAAAAAATAAAATAGTAAAGAATAGTAATCAAATTAAGATTTAACAAAACAAAAGAAATTTAGAGATTTTCATATATAAAAAGTATTTTTTATAAAATTATTGTAAATTATAAAAATAATTATATCAATTATAATATATTTATAGTAAAAAATAGATTTTTCACAAAATAATAGATAAAGATTGGTTTTTTATAGAAAATTAAATTTTATTAGCATACAAGCCAATTAAAACTAATTTTAATCTTTCTAAAAAAACACTCATAAAGTAGCACAAACGATTTGAGAGAGATGTTTTAACAAAAAAGTTAAAAAAAATAAATTTCAACTTAAGAAAAAATAAAAATATTAAAAACTAAATTTAATACCATCATGCTAATTTTAAGATAATAGATGTTAAAATGAACTCTATTTAATAAAAAATCTTAAAATAGTAATTTTATTATAAATAAAGTAACAAATAAATATTTTTTGTCCAGTATATTTTATAATTGAAAAAGAAAATATCACATATTCTGTTTTCAGATGTAAAAACAAAATTTATAGCAAAATTAAAATTAAAAAATACTAATATAAAATAAAACATTTTGTGTTTAAAAAAAAATCAATACAGCTAGTAATTTATAAAATCTTGAAACATAAATTAACATTTAAGAAATTAATCTTCTAAAGAAATTAATCTTCTAAAGTTTAAATGAAAAGTCATAATAGAAATTTTATTAAAAATATATATATACGTAATGGCGCTCCAAGCAACGGTATGTGCGTGGTGCGGCATAGCAGTCTCGAACTCAGTAATTTCCGAAAGTGAATAATAATGCTGTGAGAGCGTATTTCTTTTAAGTGTTTCTTAAAAGAAAAAAATCAAAAAAAAATCAAAAAAATTAACTTAATTGTAAATTAAAAACCAGTAGGCGAAAGATAAGGGGAAAAGCGAGTGATATAGCGCTCAAGTTTATGCGAAAAAGGAAGATTGCTGAGTTCACGGGAATAAAATAAAGAATTTCCGAGAACAATCCGAGAGTAGCGGTTTGGATCACTTTTCATCAAAGAAAGAGCTAATAGTCCTTATAAATAAATAATTTTTAAATAATCAAATATGAGGAAACGCAATAATAAAATTACCGGCGCGGCCCATAGCAAACAAGGTAATGCCTTCATTAATGGCTAAATTTAAAAAATATAAAACATTTACACTAAAAAAGGTTAACTACAATATTTAAACAATACCAATCTGGTCCAGCAAAGAAGTAATCCACCGCATATGATTTTCAATGGTGTGAATTTTTCGTACGGAAGGCTTATCAGAACGACCAAAACCAATTAAATCAACGGCAATAACTCGGAGTTTTGCCATTGAAAAAATAGAGATGAGTTTTCCGATACGTAAAGGACCAAAGAGGTGCATCGTGGAGTAAAAGTAGTATATGCGTGTTGAGCCCCCCTTCATCGACGTAGTGCAAGGTAAGATTATCCTTAAAAAGTTAAATAATAATCATAAGTATTAAAACTTTTTAAAAAAGTTTACATCGGAATCAACAATTTTAAAACGGGATTCAAAAGGGAAATTTTCTAACTTCAAGTTAACTTCACGAGAGGAAAGTTGATAGACACAAAAACCAGACGAGGAATAAAACGCGCAAGAAGGCCAGGTTATGAAGTTATATAAATAAGCGCATGCAGGAAATAATGATAACAAGATGAAAACAGTCTGGAAAATACTAGAAAAATAAAAATATAACATTAGCAATGAGAGCAAGTACATTAATGGTTTGACTGTAATAAAGTTCAACCTAAAATAAGTGGGGCTGTTATCTTTAACCTTCCTTACTTTCTTAACTTTTTTGTGCCGTGAATCCTTTTCCTTGTCTTCCTTTAAAACACTTACTATGTGTTGCCTTGGAGATTTAGTGGTGCTGGATTTTTTCATAACTGAAAGCTGAAGCTAAACTAATTTTACGATGAAAGAGAGGAGTTATGGAGCGATTTTTAAAGGAAGATAAACGCTTTTTAAAAAAGGATATAACAAAAAAAAATTAAAGGTTTTTGCTTATAATATATTATGAAGATATAAATAAAAAATTAAAGTTAAGAAATTCGCCTCGGCAAGTTACAACCACCACAAAAAATTTCTTTGCCCTTCGCATTTGTACTACAAAACTACACCAAAACTTTTTTTGCTTATCGTTTTACTCTTGTTCCTTACGTGCTCCCGTTGATAAGTTTAGCCTATTACTTTATTATATACTATTTTTAAAAAAATTGTTGTCCATCAGAGTTCAGAACTTTGCAAATATATAATTTTTCTATATTTTAAACTTGTTTACTAACTAAAACTTATACAAGGGAGGTAAAGAGTAACAGTTTGCTACGAGAGAGTGGAGTTATGTTTGAGAAATTTTTAGTTATAATTTTCGATTACATATAAACTTATTATATCATCGTGACTTTGCTCCTCATTATTTATGGCCTCTATAGAAAATAAGATTAAGATTAAAATCTTTATCTGTTTCTGTATAACAAAGGATGTTATTAAAGTTTATTTTGTGCAATTTTTAAAAATATTTACGGCAAGCCGGCTCTCTATTTTTCGTTTAAAATGTATAACAACCTTTAAGCGCTCGCCTTTTAAAGCTCATATTTATAACACCACTTTCCCCCCTGATATTTCAAATTTTAAATCAAACTCTTTGTTTATTGATTTAAAACTTTTTTAATAGAATATTGGTTTTTCTGTAAGGTTTAAATATTATATTATATTATTTATTTAATAACTTTAGAGTAGATCATTTCTAAACTTGTGAATACTCAGCAAAACATTATAACGTTGTTTCACTGTTCATATATTATTTAAACAATACTGTGCAACATTTGTTATATTTAATCCAAAGTTAAATGCATCTCATTTAATAAGGTTTAAAATTTGTTAATTTTTCTTTAATTTATCCAAAGGAAAGAGTATAAAAAAATAAAGTTTAGGATTTATTGTAAGTATAAATAAATCTAAACGAAAATTTGAAAAAGAGATGAAAAGGAATATATAATTTAATAAAAGAAGAGTAATTTATTAAAAAAAATTGTATATATTATTTAAATTTACAAAAAAAACTATAAAACAAATAATAGTTTGTTAGATTTCTATAATTTTATATAAATTAATTTTTAAATTCTAAATTGTTTTCAACATTTTCGCCTTTGCTTTTCGTTATTTCTGCTTCCGTTAATTTTTTTGATAATGCCAAACACTTAATCTTGAGCAAAGCTATCATCTTCATTACTTTTCTGCGTTCTAAGTTGGTCTATTATTTTTAAATGTGTATAATAAAATTTAATACTAAAAAATAAATTAAGTTAAGTAGTTTTAATAATTTCTACATAGTAAAGAGTAAATTTTATAGTAACTCTTAATATAACAAAAAATCTTGTAAAAAATTTTTAAGTACTCTAAACTATCATCTTTGTAATTCTCAATAATTTAAGATCTAATAAGATTCAATATTCAGAAAAAGGCGCCCACTTTTTTTAATAAAGAAATAAAAATATTTTTAATTTTAAATTCAGTTGTATAGTACTTCTTCCAAAGATTGGGAGATACTGGCCACAAGGCATTTTGTTGCAATCAATTTCTTATAGTAAAGCAAAAAAAATTCAAAAAATTTTGATTTGATAATTATACAAAATTAAATTTACTTCTAGATTTAGAGGCTCTTGTTTTCCCGCGCTTGGAACTTTTTGAATTAAACTAAACGTGAGAGATGAAGTTTCCTTATTATTGAGTCCTTTTCTCTTTGTAAAATATTAATTATCAAATTAATATAAACTAATATAAAGAAAACATTGACATAAAAGAAAATTTAATTTGGAATGTCGCTAAAAAATGATTGATTTAAAAGTGGCATGTAAAATAATTTCAGAGAAATTGCTTGCTGGTTTACTTTTATAATAGAAATTAAAGATTAAACTTTTAAATAAACTTGTAACAATAAAATTATAATTTTAAAATTTTAAATTTAAGAGTAAAATTTTTAGTATACTTATAATAGAAATAATAATAATATAATAACTCTACAGTAAAACTTTTTGGAACTTATAACAATCATATCAAAAGTTCTTAATAAAATAAACTTCATAAACGTCTTTTAAAGAATTTTATGTAAATAATATATGAAAGCTTCAATTAAAATACTACGATATTGTGTTTAAGAGTTTTCAGTATAAGTAAAATAAATTACACTATAAGCAAATTTTATAAAACAAACCAGAAGTTTAATAAATGTTTTGTGTGAAGCATTTAATAAAATAAAAAATTGCAGCATTTATGTAATTAAATAAATTTAAATTTAATTAAAATTCAAACTTTGTATAAATTTTCAAGTCAAAATTTTAGTATTATTACTTAAAGAAAAAACGAATAAACGAGATAAATAAATGAAAAACTGAAAACGTAATTTATAAAGTCAAAAAACAACGTGAGTTCACAATTTGAATTAATTTTAGGATTTTAAAAAAATCAGTGAATAAAAAATTTAATTAAAAAAATATACATACTTTTATGTATTCATAAAAATTTTTTTAAAAAAGTTCGATTAATGCAAATGGAAAGGTTACCTCGTGAGCAGGTTTTGATTTATTTTTCGAAGATTTTAACTGCTCAAGTTTTTTTTTGTACTCTTCATTTTCTTGCAAGTGTTAGTAAAAATAAATATATTTTACTTTTCTCAACTTTTTTAAACAAAAAAAAATAAAAACTCTTTGTTTCCAGTGAAAGTTCCTTTTTTAAATCCAAAGAAAGCTCCTCAATGCCAAAAGAATCTATAAATTTGTAGCAAAAAAAACAAGTAAAAACTTGGTTCTTACTAACATACTTATTCGATACAATAAACTCTTTTGGGTGCATTATAAAACTACTTTGGGCAAATTTAATACTATCTAAACGGGTTTCTTGTTAAATGCCCAATGAAATTTTAAAGGGAAGCAGTATAATATAATAGACCAAATAAGGTCACAGTCAAGTGGATAATATAAACCATATACAAAATATATACTTTTTAAGGTATTGTACTCTTTTTGCATAAATTCGTACTCTTCGCGGTACTTTTCAAGCTCTTGAGAGCATTTAACAAGTTGTGCAGCTGTTGAATAATAAATATATAAAGAAACTTACGTTTTTTTTAAAAAAAAGGCTGAACTATTATTGTTTAAAAAAATAAAAAACATCACAAAAATTTCACAAGAGTTTCCAAATCATATGAATTTTATCAGATAAGCTAAAGAGTGAATTTAATATTAAAGTGAGGCAGATAATTATCAAAATGTGTTAAAAAATAACACAGAATATAATTGGAGACCATATGGGCACTAATAATTAACTTAATTATGAAAAAAATGTTTAGCTTAAAACTTTATAGATAATATTGTTTTTATAAGCTGATATTTTTAATTGGAAGCGAAATATTATAAATTAATAAAAATTATTAAAAAATAAAATGGCTGATTTTATAATGATATAAATATTAGAAAAACGAAAAAATAAACCAGAAATTACATACAAGATAACGTAAAGTAAAAAATAATTTAACTCTAGTTTTTATATTAAAAAGATCATCAAAGTTTGTATCAATATTAGTTCCAGCTGTAAATAAGAAGTTAGAACAAAAAAGCAAAAGAGGAATGTTATTATATATATAAATATGACGTGGTGCCATGTTTTTATTTTGCTGGAATACAATAACGGGACAATATAAAAAAAAACTTTTACTGGAATAAAAAGTAAAACATTTTGCTATTGCTATTTTATACTAATTTTTTTTAGGGTGGACACAGAAAATATTGAAAAAAAGTTTTTAATTATGAAAGTAAAATAAAACATTTTGCTTTTTGAACGTTCAGTTTTTCTTGTAATTTCTTATTTTTTATGCGCATAGTCTCGATAGTATCGTGCTCAGTAGCCTTTTCGTCAGAAATATCCGGGGATTCGCTTCGATTGTCTCCCGATGACCCATCCACACTATTGGCTGGTTTATAATATTTATTTTTTTTATTTATCAAAATTAACTTTAATGAAAGTTAAAAAGATTTGTATTTACTCGGAATATAATAAACTTTTGACGTGGGATACATAATATGAATTAATACGTAATTTTAAAACTTTTCAACGCAGATCATTGGAAAATTCCATACTTTTATAAGATAGTTTATTTGCTTCGAAGCTATAATTGCTTCTTATAAAACCTTCTATTATGACCGATAACTGGCTAAGGAAAACATACTAACACGACGATTGGTTAAAAAATAATCATATCTGTTTACTGGTTATTTTTTTATAAGGTAAAAGCATTGGCTTTATAATAATTTTTATTGGTTATTAAAAAACGCAACAAAATTTCACTGTTTTGCTAGAAAAATTGATTACTAAGTCAATTATTACCAAAAATTACGTTCTACAAGTAAAAATATTATTAGTTATATTAAACTTTTATTGATTATTTAAAGAAATTACTCTTAACAATTCGATTATTATTAAATAGCATTTATTAACCCCCAGTTGGCTGGTTGAGAAAATATCAAACTTGTTTACTGGTTATTTTTATACTAAAAAAAAACATTCATTTTATAAAATTTCATTGGTTAGCTAAAAACGCCATAATAAAATTTATTAAAGTTATAAAAGTATTGTTTACAAGTTGACGGTTATAATAATTTCTACGTTTTTTTTATAGGACTATATTTATCATTGGCTTTATAATAATTTCCATTGGTTACTAAAGCGCTCTTCTATTGGTCAAAATAATAATGTTTACAAGTAGATTAGTATGAATAAAGTCAGCAATTTTTATTACTGTCTCTATGGATATGATCTTTTTATAATTCTTATCAAGCTATGCTCAACTTTTAGTAACAATAATAATAATAAATATTTATATATAAAGCGCTACAGTTTCTTTACCTTTTTTTCTGAGAGACAAATGCCTGATGCCAGCCTTCAAATTTTGAAGAACTTTAATACTTTTGGAGTCTGAAAGTTTAATTATAGAAAAGATATTGTATTTAAATTGTTGAAAATAATTATTTTTTATAAAAAAAAATTATTAGTATTATTAAGTATATAATTGATAAAGGTTGAACCTTCAAATTCAAAAAGTGACGCGTTATTTTTGGTCGTTCTAAATAAATAATTATTATTGTAGTTGCAACAGTTTAGTATGAACAAAAACATAAAGAAAGTTTATTATATTAATATAATACTATTAATGTAGTACTCATTATATGTTAATGTTATATATAGAAAAGTTGTGTGATAAAAGTTAGTAAAAAATAGTTTTCTAATAAAATAGATATTTTTTTACATAAACTAAATTGGTATTAAAAAAGAGTACAAATTATTATTATATTTATTTATTATAAATTTTTAATAAGAAAAAAATTAAAAAAGTTTAATTATTTTTAGGTATTATAAAGTTCATTAATAAATATATTAAAAATATTGTGAATTTCCAGTTGGTGACAAAATATATTATAATAGTTCACTGAAAATATTTATTATAAAATATTTCTAGTTTTAATAAAATTTATAAATTTGTACTAAAAATATTCGAAAAGTTAATTCTGAAAAAAAAAAGTAAAAGTTTCATGTAATACATATTTAAAAGCCTCAAAAGTAATAAAAGTTAAAAAAATCGTAATTGCGATTATAAATTAACAAAAATTTACTAAAGTTTAACATAATTTTTGCTCATAAATATTAAATAAGTAAACATTCATTATTAATATGTTGTGTATATTAACTTTTTTTAAAAAATTGAACTTTTCATTATGAATTTATATATAATGATAGTGAATAGCATAACTTTTACGACCATAGCTAAACTTTGTCTACAATTTCCATATGTAAGAAAACTTCGCGATAAATGCAATGAATCGTAAAACTTTTACATCAAAAAAATAGAAGCGAGAAATGTGTAGTGCTTACTACAATACAACCAAAAAAATAATTTATTAAAAAAGCTGCACATAAATCGATTCATAAAGCGCGCACTTTTTAAAAATTACTGAAAGCAAGATTAACATCCAAATAAACATCTCGGTAGCTTATAGGAACGAAATTTTACTATAAAAATAAGGAATCTTCGCTAAAAAAATTCATTAAAAAACATGTATTTTCCTATAATTGGTTAATTATTGATACACTTTTTAACGATAACTTTTATAATAGAAACTATTATTAAAAAACACAAAAGTACTTTAAAGTTTATAAAGTATATTAAAAGTTATTCTCTTTTAAGATAAAAAAAGTTTAGATATAAAATATTAATACGAGTTTTTAAAAAAGCTTGTAAGTATATTTTAGTTTTTATCATAATAATTTTTTTGAAAGTTTATAATGACTCATTTTAAAACTCACATTATTTTATAGAGTTTATAAGGTATATTAAAAAAAAGTTGTATTACATTTTTTCTCTTTACATATAAAAAAAGTTTATATATAAAATATTGATGTAAATTTTTAAGAAAAATTGTTAAGTATATTTTAGTTTTATTATAAAAAAATTTATTAAGTTAATTATTATTAATATTAAAAAAAACTTATAATCATATTCTATTAAAAAAATAACTTTTTATATAATTTTTTAAATAAACTTTAAAATGTTTAAATAAATAAAATTCTTATATATATTTTACTTTACATAAACTAAAGAAGTAGAAGTTTAAAGAATAAAAGTCTTTAAAAAGTTTTAAAGAAACCCAAAAATAGTTGTCATATTTTCTGAAGATGTTTACAAGTATAATAAAAAGAATAAAACTGTTATAGTTTTTTATAGAACATAAAAGTTGAATACATCTCTTTCTATTCAACTTTATAGAAAAATATTATTGTTTATTATAAACTTTAATATAAAAAAAGTTGTAGTTAAATTAAAAAAAAGATTTTCTTAACTTGTAAATTTTATAAAAATTTTATAAAATTATATTCACAATTCTATTTTTACTTTTTAATATTACTTTACTTTATAACAACTCTATAATAACTTTTATAATTGAGTAACTTTGCATATACTGAACGTAAAAAAATAAAAGTAAATTAAATTTTAAAGCAAATTAAAATTAATATAAATATTTATTTGTTATAATTCGTGTCACCAAAATTAAAAAAGTTATAACTTTCATTAAAATCTTAAATATGTTTGTTTTTATACTTAAATAAATTTGTAAACTGCAAACTTTTTTACAAGAGTTTTATATAGAATATATAAATTACTAGAACTAAAAAAAAATTATTAGATAATAACTATTAAGATAATAATAAGGCAAAAAACCTTTTTATAAAGAAATCTGTACAATAAAAATAAAATTATAAACTTTGCTTTTTGTATTTTTTATAAAGCTGGATCCTTATTTTTAGATTTTTAAGTAGAATAAGTGACTTTTATATTACTGTATAATAAAAAAAAGTTTATAGCTTACAAGTTATATAATTGTTTAATAAAATAAGAACTTAAATTTAAATTTGTGGCCAAGTTCGAGATTATAAAAATTAAAAATTAAAAATTAAATTTTTCATGACTGACCAATTGTTAACTGTAAGATTTAAGTATGCTTATAATACGAAATTTCCAACAAACTTTAAATATAAAAGTAAAGTCGACTGTAAAATTTTTATAATTCTATCAAAATTAAATTTAAAATTTTATTTTTAAAATATACAATTTATTTGTTTTTTGTAGTAGTGTTATTAGTTAGTTATACATTTCGTAAACTTTCTACTATAAAAAAGCTAATATAATATATAAAAAATAAAAAATTTAAAAAATATACGGAAAATAAAAATCTACAAAATAAATTTGAATTTATTTTTTCTTTTTTTCTATAAAATATAACAAATTGCAATAAAAATTACTACTAAATTATTTGGAATTTCAAAAATAAAATTATTTTGATATTTAAAAAAAGAAAAATTATAAAATTTTAATTTTTTTTAGTACACAAAACAAAATTCTGATTTTCTTATGAAAACTATAAATCATACAAATTCCCGTCATCCTCTAAAGCTTTTGCGTCTTCTGAATAAAAACTCGTTCCGCTAAGGCAGCTCAGCGTATCGTCCTCCTTTAAAAAATAATATTTAGAAGTAAGTACAATTAATTAGTAAAACTAATTTTAATTTATTTAAAAGAAGTCTAAAAAATGAAATTTATAAAAAAATCATAGAGAAACTTTTTTTTTCTAATTAATAACAAATTTAAAGGAGATAATCAAAATCAATATATAAAAGTACTGTACTATAATACGGTATTATATAAAAAATTAGAAATTTAATTTTTAAAATTAGAAATTTATAATTTTATTAATAAAAGTAAAAAAAATTAAAATTACTTGAATTAAAAAGTTTAGATCAAAATAAAAAATAAAAATAATTTAGTTTAGAATTGAGTTTTAAATTTTGCATCACTCAGGAAAAAATATTATACCAATATTCAGAAAATCTTATAGAAATTACTAATAATTCATAAATTAAAAAAAAATAAGAAAATAAAAAAAAATAATTAAGGTAATAAAAATAACTTAATGTAACGAATTAATTCATAAAGTTAAGAAAACTATAAACTAAGTTTAAAATTTTTTAAATTTTTGTTTGAAATTTACTTAAACTTATAGTAATTATGAAAAGATTAGAATAATTTATTATAAAATCCAATAATAAAATAGAAGTAACTTTAATAATAAACTGTGAAAAGTTAAGAGAAAATCTGAGTATAAGTTTTGTTAATTAAAAAATTACATTTAAATAATTATTATTAAAATTTAATAGGTTATATAATAAATTAAAAATAACTTTTACTTTAAATTAAATATGAAAGTTAGAAAGAAATAATAAATTAAATTTAATTAGATACCTTGCAGCTTTCTCTAACGAAGTTTGAACTTAGTGTGAAAAAAACTGTACAGCTAGAAAAGTTTATTTAAAAAAATTGAATTTCAGGTCAAAGAATTTTACAAAATTTTTAAAAATGCAAAGTTATCGAAAATAAAAATTTTTTTAGATAGCAACTTTGTGATAAGTTAGTTTAAATTTCCTTATAAAATTCATAAACAAATAAATTTATATATATATATAAACATTTTAAATTTTAAACTACTAATTGCAAGAATCTGTAATGCTAAAGGTCTAGAATTAAAATTCAATAACTTTACATTACGATAACTAAACTGACAGCAAAAATTAATATAAATCTATTTTATTTATAATATTTGTAGAGCAGAAGACGCATGTAAATTAAGATAAAAACTACAAAAGAAAAACAGAAAGTGAAGCAAAATGTTTAAGAATAACATTATAATAATAATTCAGTTCACAAAATTTAATTTACGAATATATAATATAATTCAAAAAGAGCTTAAAAATAAAAACAAAAAGTATAATATGAAATAAATTAAACATCACCTATGAAGGCTCGCTGTCTATTTATTAACAATATCTTATTTGTATCATATATCATTTTGAATTTACGTATGTAACCGTGTTTATGATAAAGCTTATTTTATTAAATTATAATTTAAGACAAAAGGAGAACTTTATAAGTTCTTACCGTTATTATCTAAATCTATTAGAAATATTATGTTATAGTTTTTGAAAAAATTTATTGGTTCTAAAGTTTATATCACTTTATTTATGTATATTTATGAACTTGTAATTATTAAAGAAATAATAATAACCGTTAATTTTTTACTTAATCAATTTTAAAACTTAAATAATTACTTTAAGGTAGTTAATAATTCTAAAAAGAAGTTTCCCATAATTTTATTGTAAAAATTGAGTGCAAGCTTTAAAAAAGATATAAAATTTAACCATATTTTTCAACTTTAAAATTATAAAGAGCTTCTCACAAAATTTGTATAATTTATTCTATTTAAGCTATAAGCAATCAGTACGAGTTTATTATATCTAAAAGAGGTTTCAACTCCAAGTTGAGATTTACATCTGAGCGTAAAGTTTCAGCGTAAACACTCAAGTCAATATACTCAGAACAGTAAACTTTTCCTCCTTTTATAGGCAATACCTAAAAAATTTAAATTTTCAAGGTAAAAATTAGGTTAAAAAATTATGAAGGCAACTATGTCTTACTAATATAACTTTACCTCCTCCAAAATTATTTTGTACTCCTTTTTTTCAAATTTATCTTTTTCCTTAAACAAAGTGGAAAGTAAGGTCAAATTCTTTTGAATCAACAAATAAATTTTGTTTGACTGAAGGTTATACACTAATAATTACCTGATTAAAATTTATTTCTGCGCCACTACCACCGGGTAGCTATAATAAAAATTAAAAACAATATTTTCATATGTCAAGTAAATAAAAACGAGATGAAGACCAGGGTTAAGGTTTGTTTATTAGTATAAAGAAGTTTAGCTCTCCGCTTCAATCCTAAGATGAACGTCCTTGTTTGAGAGGAGGGATCCTCGTTAAAATTGATCAGCACTTTGTTTATGTGCAACTCAAACCGAAACAAAAGACTAGGCTGCGATGCTACAGCATGCTTTAATCTCGAAGTAACTCTCTTCATATTATTTTTATAGCTCGCAAGTTTTTATAATCATGATAATCTAATGTTCAAGCCTTGACTACTTTATGAACAAGATTAATTAAGTGGGTTCTAAAAATGTTTTAGAGCTAAGTTAACAAAGTAAATATATAAACAATAACTGAATTCTTTCTAATCAATAGCAATGGTGTTGCCGTAAGAACGCAAGCTAGAAGAGGCTATTAATAATTAACTAAATGACCCCTTTCTAATCGACAATAATAGTATTTGGTATAAACCTCCAACTGGCTGTAAATGCTATTAAAGCAGCCAATAAAAGACCATTCTTAAGGCGACACGTTAAGCAGCTGCCTTTAGCTAACTTAGCAAAACTAAGTTGTGCATTTTGTACAGTTTAATAGAAGAATATGTGACCAGCTATAATAGATTTTAATTTTTGAAAGTTTACATCACAATTTTGTACGTGCACTCGACTAGCTCAAATTTATGGTACATTTAAAATGTTTAAAGTTTATTACCATTTTACCAATTAAATAATATATCATCGTTTATGAAATAAAACATCGTAGTATAATCTAGAATCTGGAGAAATTTTTAAATGACATATTTTTAACGACAGCATTTCAAAATTTAATTTATATTAAAAAAACGTAGTTGGCTACAAAGTCCATAAGATATCCTTGCAGGTTATTAGAGCTTTACACGATTCCACCCTGGTTGTGTCCGCCATTAGAAGTTTTGATTGCAATACCCACTAGGGCAAGAGTTGCCATATAAAACAAATATAGGGAGAAATTTGTCTTAAGCGTGAATGAGCATTTGTAATTATTTACCAAACATTTTCGTCCTGATTATGGTACCTTAGCGAAACATCTGTGTCATCAGGTTGGCTTTGTACTTGGGAGAGTCGCAAATTACTTGACGCTTCGTATCGAAAGATACACTCTTAAAACTGGCAAAACCACAAGGTTGGATGCATGTACAGAGCTTCGCTCTAGCTTTGCCCCGTTTGACTCCTAATTAGAAGTTACAACAAATTAATTTAACCCAAAACCAATAAAATAAACATAAACAACATACATTAGTATTTAAATTTTTTTTGATGTACAAGCGTAAACTCGATAGCTGTTAAGGAGCTCAGGGATACTGGGGGTTCAAGACGATACCCGCACCAATTTTTAGTCTTTGGGCTCTACTTACACGGAAAGTGCATCAATAGGCACCGCGCTCAAACTTCTCTCTAGGAAGGGTTACAGATTAAGTGGTATAAGGTCAATTTAAGACTGGCCGTAGTAGGTAAATGCTAAAAAAAATAGAGGTTTGGGCCGGAGACCAGGCCTTGCGGTAAAAAAGTAATAAGAATTAGAGCTAAGCCCAAAGCTCCTTAATGATGATGAAGATTTAAGTCATTAAGTAGTAGGTAAAGCTGCCTATTAGAACACCGATACTCTGGAACCTACTGTAGCATCTTAGTGGTTCAAATAAATAGATATATAAAAAAAGAAGCTTCAATTTTTACCTCACGTTTTAAGCAGAAAGTTTCTTTACCAAAGACTTAAGAAAGAGGGGGAGGGAAAGCAAGTTATTAATGGGTTACTCGCTTTAAACCAAGAGGGCTAAAAACTTTAGCCTCTTTATTTCGACTCATTTTTTAATACTATAAAGAGCATATGAAATAATAATGAATAAATCTAAATTATAACTAATTATTCGAGTTATCCTTATGTTTTTTTTAAAAAAATATAAACATGATAAAACTTCTAGTTTAAATTAATTTTTAAATTTAACTATTTGGGTCTGCCCAATAAAAGCTCATTCTATACTTTAAAAGCTATCAATAGTTAACTGTTATTAAATGACTATGCCGAGCGCATCGGAGGTGGCCGTCTTCATAAACCTTTAGCGTTGCAGTGATGGTACACTTAGGTTATCGCCCTTATTGAGGGAGAGACTGCACTTCAGCAGCACATCAAATATAAGTGGTGAGCCAGGAATTTATCGTAAAGCCAGTAGAACGGAAATCCCAAAAAATATTTCTAAACTCCTAGTCCTTTCTAACCTAAAAGAGAGAATGTATATTAAAAATATATATTTCCGTTTTTAACACTTTACTAGCCTTTGTTAATTTGAGACTTATATTCGGTTAGCTGGATGTTTACTATTTCTAACAACTAGCTTTCCCATGCAAAGAATGCTGCATAATAAGCCAATTTCTATTAAGTCTACCGATGGATTGCAACAAACCTTTTTATAAGATTGGATATTTACTGTACTAGAAGAAGGGCCGTGTTATTTGCATATACAGGGTGCAATAAAAAAGGAGTGGCATGATAACAATACAAAAGTTTTATAGAGAACTGATCGTAAACAGAACTTCTTAAACTTAACCAATTAAAGTATTATTGCACCTACAAATGTAACTTTACTTCAGGCTGTTTTAATTAGGGAAACACCACCATCCATGAAGTTAGGTTATTAGTTCATAAAATATTATTTCTGTTGAAAACTTTAACTATTATCATTATAAGAGTTTTCTAAATTTTATTTATCGGGGTCAAAAGCGATCGTTACTGTTATCAAGCAAGGCTGGAATATAGTTCAGAAGGTCACTTAAAGCTTCTATAAGCTTGCCTCTGCCTATTAAATTTAATTGTTTTTAGCATTTTTTCAAGATTATAAGTAACTTTCAAGCACTTTGCAAAAACGTTTCACAGAAATAACGACTGAGTTTTTAACCTTTTCCACTTAGTTATATCAAACATTAATTAAGGACGGCCTTAAAGATTAGTTGTCACAATTTAATAATTTGTTATTAAATAGATAAAATGATAGCTATTTCATAACCGAAACAGTGGCCTTGATCTGATGATGAGTCAGCGTTAGAGCGCAACTGTGTAACTTTAGAACTGCGTATGACACAAACGGAATTACCCAAGATTGGCATAATAGGTTTTCTTATACTGAAGCTTCTACAATACATTAGACTAAGCATTTAGTTTTATTCGCATATTAAACGTTGTTATAAGTATAGGCGCCGGATGGGGAGTTCGAGTTCAAATTCCGGCCTTTAGGGCTTCTGGATTTGTTATTACTGCGTTATGGAGTCGTGACAAAACAAAAGTAATAAAAAATATAAAATTAAAAATAAACCTTTTAACAAACACTCCACAAATTCTTAACATATATATATTATAAAAGGCTTTAAACATCGCTAAAGAATTGGATATCCCGTTTTCTACTAACAAAGTAGAAGAAATTTTATTAAGCCGAGAGGTAGATCTAGTTTGTATTTCTACACCTCCTCACCTTCACTGTGGAATTGTGGCTAAAGCTATCACTGCCGGAAAACATGTGATCTGCGAAAAGCCGGCAGGTCACTATAAACTTTTACTTAACATTACAGATCAAGCTTTATAACCTCTTCTTTCTTACCATCAAAATTCAAAGCTTTAAATTTATCGCAAGCTCGGAAAATGTTAAATTCTTCAAAGTATTACCCCCAGCTTCTTTCAATAATAGTAATAAATTAATTGCTGTATTGAATAATTGGATTACTAATTTAAAAAAAAATTTAACGGTGAGATCACAATATTCGTACGTCCAATCAAATTTACTTTCTTTAGCTGTAACGTAATAAATTAATTCCAAGTTAATTAATAAATTACAGTAAATCTTACATACTACTAATTATTAGTTATAAATTAGTAAATTTGCGTTTTGTATGTGAACTGTTTCTCTTTTACTTAAAAGTAACTTTTGCTTTGTTTCCATAAACTAACATTTTTATGAAAATTAAAAATTTATATTAATAAATTTGTATAATAAATACCTAAAGTTATTTCTTTATTACTTTTAATATATGAATAAAATGGGACTTATCCTACATAATTACATTTTTTACAATTTATTACAACTGCCTTTACTTACACTTAATCTCAGCCAAGACAAAAAAAGGTCGTTGCTGTGGTTATACATACATAAAAGAATTAATAGTCTTTTTATGATCTTCTAAAGTATTTATTATAATCTTTTTGTTTTGATTTATATAACAGTGCCTTATGTAAAAGTTGAGATTTAAATTTATATATAGTTAAATTTCCAAAGTTAATTCTATTTTTGTTTTGTTAGAGAATTACAAAATAATTTAAAATTAATTTGTTTTTTTTTTTAAAATTTTTTTTTATAAAACAATTTTTAAGCTATATAAAATCTTTTTAGGACCATGAACTTCGATTTTTACCGGCCATGGCCAAGATGAAGGAGCTCGTGACTGCTGGCTACTGTGGAAATCTGCTCGTTCTTAAAGCAGACGTGAGCATGAGTTCCCTTATCAAAGGAAAAGTATTACAATTCTTTTGGAAATTCTTATTGCGAAGTTTATGATTTTAAGAAATTATGTATACGTCGCGATCGTAAACTTGAAATTCGTTATTTTATTACCGTTTTTCTCTTTTTATTACTATGACGGTTACTTTTCTTACAACTTTTGTGAGTATTTCTTTTTTTGTTTTATTTTTAAAGTCTGCCTTGCGTTATTTTTATAGGCGTCTTGAAATTGATTAATTATATAAACTGATTAATTTAATAAACGTTGCATACGAAGTGTATAGAAAAGTTTCAAAATTTAAACTTTTGGAATAACAAAGTAACTATGCTTACAATAAAACTTTAATTAAGTTATTGTTACTTACAAAAAAGTACAACGTCCACTAATTTTAATTTTTTTCTCCAACGACTCAGCTTTCAACTTGTTGGCGCATGAGAATGCTCTCTTTCGTAATTGCATTCTATCATTTTTCAGAGTATTGATTGGTTTTCAAGCTTTATAGCCATGTTAAGATAAAATCCAACACTTTTTTAAAATCTTATGATATTTTCTAAGTTTATAAAATTAATTAACGAACTCTTTTTATGGAAGTTTCTATTATAAAAGTAAATATTATTATAATAATATAAAAAATAATCTTTTTATATATTTACTATAGTTTACACATTAAAAAAAGCGTCCTTGAAACAAAAATTTTATTACTAATAAAAACAGATTTCTAATTTTCTTTTAATATTAGTTTACTGTATTGTTTAACTTTACTTTGTTATTATTCTATTTATAAACTTTTTTTAGAAAAATTAAAAGATAAACTCTTCACTATTTTATATTATCGTAAACTTTAAACATCGTTATCGGCGTAAACAGTCCCCATGGACACTCATGGATCAAATAGTTTTCGCTTTTGGTTGGATATTTAAATTTATAAAACCTCTTTATACTGCAATCTTAACCAATGATAATAAAGTATGGTGAGTTCATAGTTAAGTGATGATGCTGACAACCAATGGAAGCGCCTACTCGCTTAAATATACAACGTGAAGTACAACTTTTTTTTAATGACTAAATAAAGGAACCACAATTCTTTACTTTTTAGTACATGTAACCAATTACATTTTTTCGAATGTTTCTATAAACTATTGTCACCTATAAGATAAAAAAAAATTAAACACCGACTCTTGTGGTTTTTTATTGGCTATTATAATATCTCATAAATTATGAAAAGTTAAACAAATTTTTTACTCTCCCTTTTCAAGAAAAATTTTTATGTTCTGTATCGGGTTTTGCTTACTTTTACTCTGCTAAACGCGACTTTTTTAGTCACCAGCTTTCATTACTTTTTTAGTATAACTGGTGGTGTGACGAATCGCTGGGCGGAGGAGTGCTTGGTGCTGTGGGTTCTCATATAATTGATGCTTTTTATTTTTTAACAGGTTGTATATAAGAACTAAAAAAAAGGAAATATAATAAACTGTTATTAAACTTTTATTATAATCATATAAACCAAAAAAAAACTTCTGTACTGTTATAATTATAAATCTATTAAAAAGTTGCGTGATTTTTTTACTAGGCTTGCAGGCTATAGAGGTGTTGGGAGTGCTAAGAACATACAAAAAAACAACCAAGAAGATTAAAGACTTTAGACATATTACTAGCGATGACTATTGTGCTTGTCAAGTTATTACATTATTATTGTTGTTATTATTATTTTACAAAGTAAACTCATACTTAAATCTCTTTTTCAAAACCTGTTAACCTTAATAGCCCCTAACAATAATAATTTTTATTATAAATTTAAAATATTTTTTCCCTATTTTCATTGCAGTTAACGTATGAAAATGAAGTCCACGCGACTATTACTCTGAACACTTTGTCTTACGGAAGTTACTATCACGTGGTCTCCGTCTACGGCGATCGCGGGGGTCTCGTGTTAAGAAACGGAGACTTGTACGCATGCTCGGCTGATTCTCCATTAGTTAACTATTTTAAAATTTTCATAAAAAATGATTGGCCTATATGACTTCAATTATTTTGACTGGCTAACTAAAAATTTTTTAATGCTTCATATGTATTTTCGATGTACAACTCAAGTTGTGAATACATTTATTGCGTTTATCAATTATTTTTTACGGAAATTTATTTCTTTTTTTAAAATATAATAAAAAAATTTTAAGTATGCTTTTGGTTTTCTGATTTATTAACACTGATTGAATTTCTGTGTACAATTTTTAATGTAAAAATATATAAGAATATTACAGAGCACAGTTAATATTGAAAACTTTGCTGAAAATTTTAATTTTTTTTATTATTTTAAAAATATTTAACAATATATTGTGTTTTACAATTTTTTAATATTAATAAACTTTTTTAAATACGTAATTTTTTTTTTAATGAAACTTAAACACGATCCACTCGTTAAGTTAAGCCTATAACAAACGGCTTTATAAAAGACAAGTTCCTTGCCAAAAGCCATCCACTAGCCAATAACCAATCACCTTTGCGCTCAGGCATCCGCCCACCAATTACTTGTCGGAAGCCATGTGAGCTTTGTACCTTTCGGAAATAGTCTCGAGAGCCATATGGGCTTTTTAATATAAAAAAAAATCGCTTAAAATATATAATATACTCAATCTATAAATTTAGTTTATTTTTTTTATGTAAATTAATTCTATAAATTTAAAAAAAAAAGTAAAAAGCTGAAAACTTTTCAATTTGTAAAGAAAAAAAAAACGAACAAAAAAATAATAGAGATCAGAACATTTTGCAATTTTCCGCTACTAAAATTTACTTTAGGCGTTGTGTAATTTTTAAAATTTTACATTATTATAATTTTTAAATATATATATTTAAGTAAATTTTATTGTAATAATTTCTTTAATATAATTATTTTTGTTAAGTCCCTTTCCAGGGGCGCTTATCTCTTATCTTTCAAACGAATTCATTTAAAATGTTAAAGATTTATAAATTATAAAATCTTTTTTTTTTAAAGGAAGAGCTAATCGTAGGCAGCTCGAATACCTCGCAAAGTTCTCCTTTTGCTAAAGGGACGGAAGTTATGATCAGTTGCCTCAAAGAAGCTTTCTTAAAAAAGGACTTTTCTATCGTAACAACTTTTATAAAAATTTAAATTTGCAATGTTCCTTATAAAAATTAGCAAATTCACCATTTTTATCATAAAAATAACAAATAAAAAATATTTTTTGAATTAACTTTAACTGCCTAAAGCCTAAAAATAACTGAATTTAAAAAATAAAAATTTCTTTACAAAAAATTAATATTATCAAATTTCAATGATGCTTTCTGCTATGTTTAGTAAAAGTTATTTTCTTTTGCAATATAAGCTATTTAAAGGAATATAATACTGAAGCAAACTTTAAATAAAAGTTAGTTAAGCTTTTTGTTTATTAAAAAATTATTTAAGGCTTTTTATATTATGATAAACTCTTATTAACAAAAAAAAGCACAAAATTTTAATAACTATATAAAGTTTTGGAAAACCTACGATGATGCTTTTATAATTATTTTCAACTTACAAGGAAAATTAAAAGATTTACAAATAAATTTATTTAATTTTCGCTTTTCCTCTGCATAACGTTCATAATAAATTAATTTAATTTTAATTTTCTTTTAAGGTGGGAACTACTGCCAATTAAAAAATTTTTATTATTCCGCTTTTATAAATTTTGTTAAATTTAATTAATTATTTAAAATCACGTTGCTTTATATAAAGTGCATCTATGTACACATAAGAAATTTTTAAATAAACTAGTTTTTCAAAATTTCAGATTAACTGCTTTTAGAATGCAAATTATTATAATTTAAAGCTTTTCTTATTTTTTTTTATTCAGTTAAAAAATCTAATCAAAAGTAAATTTTTAATAAAATTTTTATTAAATTTTTATAACTTTTTACACATATTCATTATAAACATAACAAAAGCTGCAAAATGCTGCCAACTTTGAAGCTGGATTGCACACCCAAGCAATTATTGATGGCATTAAGAAGAGCAGTTTTTCTGGTGAGTGGATCAACGTGCAGCATTTACTGGAGGACAAGCGCTCTCCCGAAACAGTTTTTTTCCACCAATAAAGTTTCTCAAAATTAAAGTTATATATTTAATTAAACTTATTCTTAAAGGTTTGTAAAAGCTGCGAAAGATTTTATAACTTAATTGTAAATAGAAATTAAATAATATATTAAAATTATCTCTAACCTAAAAACAAAGAATTTGAATTAAACTTTAAAAAAAAAAGATTGCTTTAATAATTTTTAAAAAAATTTTTTTTTAAGTTAGAAGGAAAAAAAGTTTTTGTAAACTTTGAAAGCAATATAAATATAGTAAAACTTATTTTAAAAAATTAATTTTTTTTATAGTAAAGCTCAAAAAATCAGACTTTTTTTTATATATAGATATAAATTTCTAGGTCAGCTCTTAAAAAATAAATAATAAACAAAGAAATCCACAAATTTCTATATAAATTTTCTTTTTATAGATAAAACTATGGCATTCCACAAAAAAATAGATTTAATTTTGAAGAAGTTTTTTCATTTCATCGTCCTTAGCTGCTTCTAAGAAAGTGCGGCCGTCGGGGGTCTTTCCGTGGACATCGGCACCCTGAAGTCAGAAGTCATCTGAATTACTTTTACACTTTATATTATGATAATTATACTTGGTTATCTTTTCTTTAATTAAAGGAATTTTTATTTTGATTTATTTTATAAATGAAGCGAACAGGATGCTCACAATAAAATGAAAGAAAAACTGTGCAAATAAGTTATATGATAGTAATTTACCCAGGTTAAAAAAAAACTGAAATGGAATTTAAATTTATATATAGTGATAAAAATATAGTCTAAAATATAAATTATATATTGTAAATTTTTTTTTAATAAATAGTAAAAAAGACGCACATTTTTTATCAAAACTTCAGCGCACTTAGTGTGGTTTTCAAGTACGGCTGCGCACAAAGGAGTCATGGAATAACTTTTTGTTTAAAATTAAGTGAAAATTAAAAAAAAAATCTAGAGACTTAATTTTAGTTAACCAATCTTCGGCATCAACTTTAGCTCCCTTCGAAATTAGTAAAGAAATCATCTCGACTTGACCATAATCAGCAGCATAATGTAGGGCTGTGCGGCCTTTATACATTTTATTGATGTCATTATCACTCTACATTGCCAAAAAAAAGTTTAAAATTGTTTCTTTACTATTCATAACGCAAGCAAAAAATCGTAGTAATTAGTAGAAAGTTAGCCGTCTTTGCAAAACATCTTGAAAACTTTTTTTAACATATATTGTAAAAAGTTTTTTTTAAAAATAATTTAAACACGCATTCTTTTGTTACTCCTTCTTTTAAAACAATATTTCGAAGCAACATAAAATCAATCAACGTTCAAGTCATTTACTACTCAAATAAGTTGTCCGCAAACTGCTAAGTTAACAATTAAATATATCATGCTTATTTTCATACCTTCAAAAGCTGTTCCACCTCTTTTGTAGCTCCATTTTGAACATTCCATATTATCTCATCCTCCATTTTTCTTAAAAAAAAAATTAAAACTGAAGCCCACAAGAGATTGAGGTAATACGAACAAACTGGCGTGTTGTTCCACTTTTAGATTATGGAAACTACAAACTAAGGGTTACCATAGTCATCTCACTTCTTCAAGCAAAAGAGCTAGCAGCGTATTATAATATTCATTTTAGTTATTTTGTATTTCTATTAATTGTGACATTAATAACTAAAGTTTATCTTTTTGTGCTTTGTAATAAAAGCGGATTTCTCTATTTATGCCAAACTTTTGTATAACGACCCCCACAAAGATAAAATATTTCATAGAGTGATATACCTTCTTTCAAACAAGTGTGCAAATGATATTTAATAACTTATGATAAAATTGCTTAACCGACTCGTTCAGTAAGTAAACATTTCTCTATACGGGTTAGTTTTATGCTACGCCAATGATTACAGTAATTATAGTTAAGACCATACTTTTCGCATTGTGTAAGGTAAACTTGCTGACTAACTGGTTTTTACGCACATAATAATAAAATATACTCTAATCATACAACTTATGTCCTATATGACAGTTTTATATTAAAGGGTTTTCCTGTTGCTCTTTTGAAAAAAGTTAGTTAATATAACAATTTTAAGAAATTTTAGTTTCTCTAGTCGATGGTTATTATTCCTAAAAAAACCTTTTGCAGTTACGTACCTCATTATACGGTCCCACGGCAGATGCCTGCACTGCAATCAAATGAACTATATCTAAAACATAACTCAAACTTTTAAAGGTCGTGTAGGTTTTTGGGTAAATATATCATTTAATAGCCAACGCTTAAACTAAATAATTATATTTGTGGCTCTACAGCGTAGTTAAATATGTAAATAAATAAAAAACTTCTAGTAAACAAATAATAATATTAGCGACCTATTTATTATTTTACGTATTAGTCGCCCTTTGGAGTTGCTTGTGAGAATAATATCAAATAACAATCTTTTTAATATATAATTAGCATACTCGTCAAAAGAACTGAAATAATGATTAAAGTATTCAAAATGTATATAATTATAATAAAGTTAAAGTAGTTCGGTAGCTAGGAACTGGCAACGTAATAGTAATAAACTAGGTAAATAAAGCTTTAATTCAAGTTTTCCAATATATTATACTGAAGTGGCTTATCTGATGATATCCTGACTGCTATTCAGGATACCATTTTGTCACCTCACCATGAAATAATGTCTTTAGATATTTCAGCCTTATATACTTCCATTCCTATTATGGAAGCATTCAGGGTAATTAAAAAATATATTCTAGAGCATTATGGACCAATTCAGGGTGGTTTGCTTGTAGAGGCTCTTCATTTAATTCTAAATACAAGTTATTTTGAATTCTATGATAAGCTATTTAATCTAACATGCTTTCATATAATTAAATCGGAAGTAATACCCACGAGTGTCGATCTCTATTAGAGATGATCTAATAGACAAAATTCCTATACGTTGCAATATTTAGTTTTCATAACTGCATTGAGATTAAAGTTAATTTTTCATTTTTTAATAGTTATGTGTAATGATCGAACTATCCAACTAATAATAAAAGCTTTAGTAAATATATACAGACAAATTATTTTTACGAGTAAATGCTATAAAGTTTAGTGACCTTTTTGCTTTGAACTATCATGTTTGAATAATGTCTCACGTTAAGAATTAAGCGAATATAGAATTTTCGATTATAAAATGGAGGTACTCTCTTTTTTTTTGTTCATGTACATGGTGAAAAAAAAGTATACATCTTCTTAAATGGGTTAAATTGTATAAGGATTTCATTTTAAATCTACACTTTTTCGAATAACAAACGCTGAAAAATAAGACAAGCAAGCTTGTGCTCCTTTAAGAGCTTCTCCTTCTTTATTTATCTTTTAGTTATCAATTCACTAGTAAAAATAAAAAAATGCCAAAATTAAAAAAAAAAACATAATTTGGTTTATTGCATTTAGTAAATTTGCATATTCCCCCTATGTAAGAGCCCTATTAAAAAAATTGATGAAATAACTTTTCCGTATATAAACGCTAATTCATTACTGTAAAATAAAAAGATAAAAAATTTAAAAACGGTTTCTCTTAAGAAACCCCTTGTTCCACTTTGAAATTGTTTTATCTTGTCGTTAGCTTTTTTTAAATTCTTGAGACCCCGGAGTAAAATCACTAATAAACTCTTCCATCCTAGATTGCTAACGAAATAGCGCCATTACTTTTAGTAAAATCTTAACAATTGTGCTTCATATCTACATAAAAAAGTCAGATTTTACCACAACGTCTAACATTGAGCTACAAGTAAAAGTGTACAGCCTGCAAAACGACTACCATTCCTCATATGATAAAGTTATAAATCTTATTTCTTATGTATACCGGCCCCTTTCACACAACGAATTTTTAATTTTTATTCAGTTTTTTTGGCTTCAAATATGTCTGTTGTATAAAATAAATTTATAAACATAAAAATCATTTTTTTACTTGGGTAAAATTCAGCATAAACGCGCATTATAGCCTCCATGATATTCAAATAGATACCCAACTAAAATTTCGTGTTAAAAAACAAGCTCCAATTATTAGGCTTTAAAAGTTTTATTTGCTAGCTTAAGCATGATTTATTTAAACAGGAACTGTCATAAATAAGTAAACACCTTTTCATTTGAAGCTACTTTCTGAAAAGTCTGCGATCACTCCTGATTGAGAACTCGAGTATATAAATAACAAATTCATATAAATTTATGTCAAACATATATTAAGAAGCTGTTTAGCTGCATTCTAAGGCCTTAAAAAGCCATGAAGAGATTTTTATTTACAATAATAGTATAAGCCTAACGGTTAATACAAATGGTTTCTCAAACAACGCTTTTTAAAGCTGGGACGAAAATATTTTTTAGTAAAGTGAGACTACTAGTTGTATAATATGATTATATATATTTCTTTATATTTTGTAACTATACGTTAATGGCTTCGCTTAAATGTTAGCGTTCACTGACGCTATTAGAAAGTTAGCTTTTTACCTAGTTGATTTCACTTTTCCTTACTCTCTACCTTATTAAAAATAAAATAAGTGAATTAATTATTCTTTAACCAAACCAATCAAATTTTAGTAGTAGTAACATAAGGAGGTATAACTCATCGACACCCGCGCGTTGATAACTACATATGCAAGAGTAATCGGTTTCCATCACTCTAAAAAAAAAGGTTCTCTTCGGATAAATTCTTTTTTAAACCCCGTCTTACCCGCTCACAACTTAGTAGACCGACTTCAAAAAAAAAAACTTCTAAGCAGAGACAAAAAACCAGAAAAAGAAAAATTCATTAAGCTTCACATAGGGGATTTAAAGTATAATAGCGTTTATTACTAGTCTATTTCAATCGAGTTTAATTTAATATAAAAAAGGATGTCAGACACTTACGAATATCTTTGTAGGGGCAAAGGATTTTTAAAAAGTTTTTACCAGTTGTTGCGTTGCTTCTTCCTTGTTCTATTTTTAAAAAGGTTATACATTTACTGTACTTGAAAAATTTACTTGCTTCTCGTTTAACCTTACTTCCTAAGGCATTATCTTAAAAAACAAAATAACGTATGTTTTATCGTTTAACTGTTATATTTATCTTGGTTCTACTATTCTTTACAATTATTTCATACAAAGTCTTAAGTCAAGAAATTTTACTTTTCTCACGCCTAGTGTACGTATATTAAGAGTAAGGCACGTTATAAACAAAAAAAACTCTATTCGCCCTTTTTGTGGCAAACAAATATTTATAATTTTATTAATAAATTATGTACAGAGCAATAAAAGTAATTTACATTTCTTTCAATTAAGGTTACTTAGAAGTTTTTCTTTTAATAAACAATCACTCCCCATATAAGAAACTGAGTTTAATGCTTCTAAAAGTTTTTCCTTCGTTATAAAGCAATCATTATTTTGGAGAGTTTCATTACTTATAAGATTCTTATGAATATGATAATCAACACTTTTGCTATTGAAAATATCTTTTAACGAATTATATATTAAATCGCATTTAAATTCTTCTTCTGAATCTGAACTGGTCGCCAACTTATCATCTTCCACGACTTTCTTATTCTGAACTTTATTGTAATTTTTCTTTTTCAAATTTAGATGTGGGGGCTGGAAATACTTTCTAACGTTTGCCTTAACGGGTGTGGGCTGGAAGGAAAAAGAAACTTTAACCAGAGTTTTTAATCGTTCCTATAAATTAAAAAAAACTCATAATACTAGAAAAAATAAATTAAATAGACTCTTATTTCAATAATATATACTTTTACAATTTAAAAACGTTCTTATTTTCAGTAAGTTTTAAGAGTTAAAATTTAGTTAGTACTTAATAAAAATAAGATTAATTAAACATTTATAGTAAATAAAGAATTTTTGATAAAAATAAAATTTTTAATTTCATTTATAAAACTACTATTAAGCTGTATTTATTTATTATTATTATTACCTACATTATTTTAATTTATTCATTTATAAAACTACTATTAAATTGTATCTATTATATTATTACTTTTACTTACATTAATTTAGGAAGTTATTATTATTATTATTATTATTATTATTATTATATGACAAAAGTGAAGGACCTTTACTGTTTTTTTTATAAATTTAACTGCTAAAGGGTCAATCTTATCAATATTATAACGCTTAGCGATGGTTTGTAGTCGAGCTTCTAGCAAAGAAAAATTCGGCAGTCTAATAGTATGAGTATAAATAAGTAACTTTTATGTAAACGTTTCAAGGATAATTTTTAAAGACATATACCTCCTCAAAATTCATAAATTTAATATGTGGAAAAGCGAACTTAAAAATACTACAAAATAATTAAAGCTTTTATGTAATATAATATTGTAATTGCTATCTCGTTTTTTCTTATAATAAGCAACTATTTGTGGCGGTCTTATAACTTTGAGATTGTAAAGTGCAATGACCAATTATCATTAATTAATAAAAGTAATAAAAAAAATATATGTAAATTCGAAGAATCTCTTAAGAAATTATCCTAACT